GCGTTCTCCATTCTTCGTAATCATGAAAGGCATTTGACCAGATGGCCATACAAAGGAGTATCCTTCTTCCATGCATCGTTTCCCAAGAGACATCACAGACGGAGTGTCGTCCAGTACATAAGCATGAGATGTCACATCAAAGGTTCCCAGGTCAATCTCTGCTTCCGTCTGGGTAGCAGTTGAACCATTGGCGGTGTGGAACATGATAGGATCACAAGTTCGCTGCTTCAAGTTCATCCTTTCAGCTTTCCTTGCAGAAATCAGGTCGTGTCCGCTGCCAGAATCCAGGATGAATCTGCGATCTTTGGCTTGCACTGGTAGTGAAATGCACATCATATTCTTGGACTTCACAAGGGATTTTCCAACTTCGTGCTCAACAAGCTCTTCAATAAAAGTCAAGTCATTACAAATCATCGTCTATCTTGATCAACATGTCGAACTTGGGGCCAATGATGATTCTAACTTCATCAACAAAACGATGAGGTCCGCATCTGTCCATGATGATTGCTTTGGCCCGTGCTCGGACTGAACCAAGTGTGTTATCAGACTTGAACTGATCGTCGGTCAAATCATCGACTTTCCAGAAGACATACTGCTTGTTGGGGTCACGATACATACGCTTGGGTAGTCCCTCTTGGTAATTCTCAATGGCAATCTCGTGCACTTCAGGTTCCAGCTCAAAAGAGATCCTGCGATCATCAGAAGACTTCTTTGCGATGGCTATCCTCGGTGAGGTATAATCCAAAGAATCTTCATTGTCGCTATCAAAGAAGGAATCAATGGTAATGGGAGTTGCTTTCTTCTTTGGTGTCTTCTCGCTGGTCTTCTCTGATGATGCTGAAGGCGACTGGTCTGCATGTAGGAATTTACATTTGTTCCCAAACGTGCAGGTACCCTTCTGCCAATTCCAACATACCTTCTTTCTGGGTCCAGCTGAAGATGAACTTCCTTTACTTTTCCCCCTTGATGAATCTCGACTTCCACTTCTGCCTTTCTTACCTTTCATCTTGGCATCATAGACCTTCTGAGAATGACTATAAAGACATTTGTCACCTTTGTTGCATCCTCCTTTATTGAAGAAGTAATTGCAGAAAATCTTCTTCTTGTCAGCGGGTGAAGATGATCTTCCCTTCCCACCTTTGCCTTTCTTGTTGTTCTTGTCGGCATGAGATTTCGGAGAAGGTGTTGGAATTACTGATGCAGCTTCACTCTTCGCCTTCGCTTTAGGTCGTTTGGGAGGATCACCTGTAGACGATGCAGCCGCTTCATTCTCCTTCTTGGTCTTAATGGGAGCAGCAGGTTTGTCAGCATCTTCCAGGGCAGGTGTCGTCTTGTTAGAGGACAATGACAGTTTCACTGCACGTTCTCTATCTTTCAACAGTCGTTCTTGCTTTCCTCTTGCTATGTATCCTTTGATCATGCCAGTGAGGGAAGCATAGGTCTTCTCAGGATGCCCTTCATCATAGGTTTTGTATCGGTTGATATCAAAAGCCATAAGCTTTGAATGTTCAATCTTCCGGAACAATGTGTCACGCAGGGAATTATCAGAAGGCAGGTCATCATGTTTCATGTTGTATATGATGTCAAGCCACTTGTTGTAGAAGGCCTCAAGCTGGTCATCTCCATAGTAGTTGAACATGTACAAATGGTGGGCGTTGTAGAGAACTTCAGTGTGGTCAGGTGACTTGAAGCTAATCAATACCATTGCGAATAGTTCTCGTCCCTTGATGAAGTCCCCACTTCTCCCATACATTTGGTTCTTCATGGACATGTCATACTTCACTTGCATGGACTTGTCCCCAGCATTGTCAATGACTTTCCTCAAGGCATTGGAGAGCTTGGCATCAATGGATTGGAATCTCACATCGGGTGCTTTGGCCAGAGCCTCCAAGTCAGGTTGATCTGCAAGACACGGAGCTAGCCACGCTTTCCAATCTTCATAGTTTCGATCTCCACTTGCAACACAAACTTCATGAACGACACTTCCCTTCCAGGATGAAAGTTCAGTGGTCTTAGGCCAGGGTTGGAGGCTGATCTTTTCGGCTTCTCTTAGAGATACGGATGACTTAGATCTATCCCTCTCAAGATTCTCCAACTCCTTGACATTGGTGTTGTACTCGTTCCTGAGCTTCTCGAAGGCTTCAGCTTCTGCTCGGTATTCCTGCTCTTCATCGTTGGCGCGATCTTCAGCTTGAGAGAAATTGTTCTTGTAATAGTCTTTCCGATCTTCCATCTTCTTCAATTCATCTTGAAGATTTCGAACTTCAGCGTTCCTCTCTTGCTTCATCTCGTCCAACTCTGCTTTCAGTTTGGCACACTTCTCTTCACATTCATTCCGAGGCATAGCATTACTGGGGTACCCATGTAAAGTAGTCGGTCTATTCAATGATGAAGAAGGAATAAGCCTGGTTTTCCAACTTCAGGGCAGCAATGGTGCTCGACATCTCTTCTACCTCAGCGAAACGCTCACTAGCCAATTGATGCATCTCGGTCAAGTGGCTTTCAGGAATGGAATAGTCAGTCGCACCTTTGATCACGAGTCTTCTGTCGTTCAACATCTTGATGGACTTACCTGCATCCCTGTGAGCACGCTCAAGAGAATCCTTTTGGGCTTCAAGTTCAGTATGAAGGCGAGCAATAGCTGTATCCCTGTCATTGATTTCATTGTGCAAACTGTCGAACAAGTTACTCGTCACATTCGGATTGCTACGCTGCTACTCATGTGATCGATCTTGTTCAGAGCATCTTGATACTTCTTACCAGTTTCATCGAAATGTTGCTGGAAGGTTTTGAGCAGGTTCTCAGTGTCAATGAGTTCAGTTCTGTTTTGTAGGTACAACTTGTCAACTTCAGCCTTGGATTCCTTTAAGTTGTCACGCTCACGCACGGCTTGCATAGACATCTCATATAGTGCTGCTCCATGCGGTGATCTGCTTGGCGAGGATCTTCGGGCTTGTTGACAGGAAAGTTCATGATACTGATTCTTCGATTCAGTCAGTTGTTGTTGCATTCGATCTAAAAGACTTTGTTTCATGTGTAGTTCCGAACGTAGTCCCATTATCCTCATGTCCCGCATGCCACTTGATTCAGCTAGAGATTCTTCAGAAACCTTGCTCTCAGAAATCGCTAGTCGAGATTGTAAGTTTTCATTGTGGATCACCTGCAATCGAAGTTGCGATTCTTCCAAAGCTAAGTGATGTTCACATTCTGCATAGCGGTCATGTTCAGATCTTATGTTACTGCGGAACTCCTTCATGATCTCGTCCCTCTTCATGTCAGCAGCATCGAGCTCAGTTTCCAGTCGTCTGACATTCATGGCCATGGTGTGCTTCATTGTCTGGTTCTGATTAGCAACCTCGAGCATCTCGATCTGTAAAGCACATGTCTGGTCATTAGCGTAGCCGACCGCCAAAGCTTCTTGCTTGGCATTCATCTCTGCGTTCTCTAATTCCAGTCTGAGTTGATTGATGTGAGCATTCGCGTCAGCGCCCACATGCACCATAATTGCGTTCGCTTGTCCCATTTGTTCATCCAATTCCGAACGTAGTCGTGAATATTTGAATTCTAAATGAGATGCTGCTTCATTCGACATAGTCTGATACCTCTCCAATTCTTCGATCCTGTAGGTTGCACCTTCATCTTCTTGTTGTGCAGCCTGCAACTCAAAGTTCAGCATCTGGAGTTGTTCGGTCATCGACATCATTTCTTGATGAGTGGTGCTTTCCAGGAAATTAAATTGTTGATAGGCATATGCTGTCGTCTCGGTCAATCTTGCCTGAAGTACGGATTCTTCTTCAGTGGCCTTTTCCAGTGATGTCTTGTATTCAGCTAGTTCACTCTGATAGGCAGTGAAGATGTCGCTACCACTCGATGGGGCGTTCACTTGCTGATAAGATCCTGTCCCTGATGGAGTAGCGTCCTGAATCGGTGAAGGCGGATTCGACGACGTAGTCTTTGCCTTAGTCCTTGGAGTCATCGGAGGCGACAATTGTCGTGCAGATGATCTTCTCTTTCCAGGTGTGCTGTCCCTATCTTCAATTGCTTGCATTGTCGAAATTTGTCTCCCTCTAGGAGCAACCAGAGGTCGCCTGGGTAGGCTCGTTCTCAGTTCTGAGGCATCGCTTCCACCAGTGTCGATACTCTGTGAAGAATTTGACTGCGTGCCGGCAGCTGGTGCAACGGCATGTCCAGAAAAAGAAAATGCGTTATCACTGCTATCCTGCTCAGTCATCTGTAAGGCCCGCGGCTACCCGCTCGTAGGCTCCGTAGGAGTCCTACGGCTGATAACCTGTGAATCGGAGGTTGTCTCCCCGATTATGTGTTCTTGGATGTTCGAGAATGTAGTTGTTCTCTCACTGACGACGACGAAGGAGTGGCAGTTTCGGCATTGCTTTATTTTCTCACGGGGGCTGGCAGTTGTCTTGAGCCAAAGGGGCATTTCATGCATCCCTTTGGTCATGGATGATTAAGGGAATATTTACATGGGAGTATGTATAACGCTGTAGTCTACATCCCATTCGCAGTATATACGGGATATGTGTTATATGATGTTATATGTTTATTACCATTTGCTACTATTGTTCTATGTCAGTCAATTAGTGTTAGTATCATATAATATTCTTGAGTGTGATGTTATAAATATATATATATACACACTATAAACTCATTCACTAAATGTTGTGTAATTACCCGTAGAATACACCACAACATCGGATGTAACATTGTATTATATATGTATATGTTGTGGCATCATGTGCATATATATATAATTATAAATTACACTATATCACATAGTAGCAATACATAACTTAGTCTAGTCATAGATATCGTATACTCATCTGCACTTTGCATGCATATCATATTGCAAACTATTATATCATGATCACATGAATTCACATGCAATAACTTGCAATCACATGATATATCCCCATATATGCATGTAGATAAGCATCACATGAAATCACCAACACCTTGGACAAGATTGATACAGCACCGCAGGCCTTTCGGGTACCTTACCTTGGATCGGATCATCCCAGGGCCAGATGGATCACCCCTCTGGTTATGACATGACATTCACACTTCGCCATGGAAAGATCCACCCATGCTATTAATGGGAAAAACATGGGAACATGGTGATTTATGGCTAGGTAAACCATCTATTTTATAGCTAGGTAAACAATGGTAAACCATCTATTTCGATTAGGGCCATCGAAAAACCATGGCGAACTGTGAATGTCATCACCAGATCATATAACTGATGCGTTTGATGATTTGACCATGTCGGCATCCAAGATGCGTTGGTTTGCACGGCCAAGGCCAGCTTTTGCCATTGAACTGCATCCTTCCCTGGCAGAGGCTTAATGAGGCATTGACCCAAACTGAGTTTCCAAAGGCGAAAAACTGAACTTTCGAACATGATTTTTTAAGGTAAAATGATATCTCGAGGCCGCCTTTCAAGTCATCAACTACAAATGACAAACAACTTTTCCAGTTTATGACCCAACTCAATACTTATAAGAGATATTCAGTGATAGAGTGCCGCACTCCAACATTCAGACCAAATATGTTGAACCTTTCCCGGAGTATCCCATAGTCAATCCATCTAAATCCATGTACATCCATCTAAATCCGCTCCTACCCTGTGGGGTGTCCATGGCCCATAGCTCCATGATTCGTTTTCGGTGTACCTCAAGGCTCGCATCAGCAGCAAAGCAGTGAAGCTCCTGAAGGTCATGAAATTGTTGGGAATCGATCTTCATCTTAGGAAAAAGTTTGGATTATTTCTCATGGATTGATCATGGATAATCATTCCTTCATGTTAGGAATATTACGGATGTCAACATAGCTCATGCTGTTGTCATGTTTTCACATTTGCCATCTCGCAGGTGCTCCAAGGACTAAGGTCTTTGACTTGTGGCCATCTGGCCCAACTGCCACTTAGGGGCCCCTTGGAGCTACCGCATGGCACTTCGCGGACTTACCGCTTCCTGGTGACGGAAAAGGACTTGGACATCGCTGCCGCAGACTTCGTGGGCTACGCAGCTTGGGGATCTAGGCCTGTTGGGACGGTGGACATCTTGGTGTTTCCTGTGGTTCCCCTACGGCTAGATCGATATTGGTAGCGGAGCCCAGTTCGGGCTACCGCAGGGCTTTGGCTACCTCACTGACCCCTTCCTCGCTTTGGACTCCTTCGAGGGCATGCCTGGGGGAGGTGGACACGGAGGTGGACAGCCTAAGGCCGCTTCGGCCGCCAACGCTGCTGCTGCGCAAGGTGATCAAGCTCAGACCAATGGAGGTACAGCTCCGCAAGGGCAAGGTGGCTTCGAAAGAGGCTTAGACTCCGGCCTTGCTAAGGCTGCACCGTCCGCACAGGGCTTGACACAGAAAACATATCGAGCCTATAGAAGGCGACTGGACTTGTTCAGCAGACAATGCAGCAGAAGGGGCAACACTGTCTCTGTTGAAGGTGCTTACCTGGTGCTCAGCCAACTTCAAGATGTAGCTTGGGATGCTACTGAAAGCATCGAGCTGGATGACATCGAATTGGCTGACAACCCCTTCGAGCCCATTGTCAAGGTCTTGGATGCGCTTTTTCAACATGAAGAAGAAGTTGAATTACCAGAGCGCTGCCAGGAATTTTTCGAACAATTCCAGCGAGAACGACAAGAGGAGCTTCAGCAATATCTTGTCCGGCATCAGACGATGCTCAAGAAGTTGAAGGATTTGCAAGTAGATGTCCCTCCACTACTTGCTGGCTGGCATCTCTTGATGCGCGCTGGCATTCCGAGATGGACACACCCACAAGTGAAGTCTATGTGCAACGGAAAGCTCACCACGGAGAAGGTGGCTCGCGCATTGACCCAGATGTTTGGAGGTGACAGCAAACCCAACTCCAAAGACACCACGTTCAAACACGAGGTGCACATGGTCGACGTCGATGGTGAGTACGACGATGAGGTCTATGACGAATGCTACTATGAGGATGACGAGACCTTCTACACCAACGACTATGAGGAGGACTACATGGACGATGCCTACTACGCTGACAACAACAACATCGTCGGTGACGAGGAGATCCCCGCCGAATTGGATGAGGCGACACTGGTGGTTGAAGATGCCTACATCAACTACCTGGACAGCAGGAAGAAGATGAGGGAGTTGGCCCTCGCCAGAGGATTCTACCCTGTGGTTGCGCTGGACATGGGCGATGGCAACTACAAGGGCTCTGGAAAATCCTATGGGAAAGGTCGCAACAACCATGGTGGGCGATCGAAAGGCAAGTCAAAAGGAAAAGGAGGAGGCAAGAGCAAAGGGAAAGGCAGTGGTTCCAAAGGATCACATCCCCTGCCTGGTGCCAAACGATTTGTCTTTGGCCGCAGATCGAACTCTGAATCTGGATCAACGGCTTCAACGACGGCAAGGTCTACTACCAGTGGTAGCACTGCACAACATGGTCCACGATTCAAGAGGTATCGCTTGCCAGCCTCAGGAATCAAAGAGGTTCCTGACGATGCCAACATGGTTGAGGATAGATCCACAGAGGTGACACCCGTCCCTGGCGAGTTCCATCAACATGAGGAGATCAACTTCACCTCACAAGAGGTTGGATGGGCCATCATGGACAGTGGTGCAACAAGAACTGTCTGTGGAGAGGCCACATGGGACAAGATCGCCGGCTACCTCAACATGAGAGGCATGGAGGCTGAGATCAACAGAGATCCTCGCGATTTCCGGTTTGGAGATGGCGTCACAGTGAGGTCTCACTTCAGTGCCAACACCCCAGTTTGTGTGGGAAGAACCTGGCGACAGCTGACAATTCATGTTTTGCCGGGACACACACCCCTTCTTTTGGCCAGGCCTGACTTGGAAGCCTGGAATGTCATGGTCAACTATGGCAAGAAATTGGTCTACGTGGATGGCGCTGAGATTCGACCTGTTTTCACTGCGAACGGCCACTACATGATCAACATCTTCGACGACTTGCAGGACATCCTCAATGTCGACGACTTGAATGTCAAGAACATCAACTCGGCTGATGACGAGGTTTTCCTCGACACCATCATGACTGATGACATCTCTGACGAGGAGATGGATCTTGAGGTCGACGTGGATGAAGAGACCATCGAGGAGGTGATCTACCGGGTGGTCGACAAGAGCAAGATTTCTCAAAGGGTTCTCAAGTTCTGGGAGGTCTACATCGACGAGGGCAACTTGGGCAAGTATCTTCAGGCCAAATACCCTGATGTGGAAGTGCGACAGTTTTCACTTCCCCAATGGAACTTCGAGATGCACGAAGCTCAGAGAGACTTCCGCAAGTTGGTCGCTGAAGAGAAGCCACACCATGTGATGGTGGCACCTGAGTGCCGACTTTGGTCTCCAATGCAGAACATGAACTACCGAACCCCAGAGCGTCGAGCACTTCTGGCCGACATGAGAAACCTTGAAGAAAGCACTCACTTGCAGTTCTACTACGACATCCACAGCGACGCCAAGAAGATCTACTACGATTGCACGCTTGAACAGCCCGCTGACGCGGTTTCATGGAGAACCGAGACTTTGGAGAAGATGCGGGGCTACTGCAGAGACTGTGTTGGATCGGTGCCGCACTGGACTCAAGCTGGATGCAGATGATCCACACTATGTCCGCAAACCAACACGTTTCAGATCTACATCCCGAAAAGTCTGCCAAGCTGTGAACTTGAGATGCCAATGCACCCTTGGCCATACACAAATGATGGGACGTGGCCAGGCACTCAAGCGCATGCAGAACTACGAGCCTGACCTGGTTCGAAGACTTGGAGATGCGATCTACGAGTCTATGGGTGAGGTCTGGCGAAAACGTGGCACAGCCGAACTCATGGCATTGGAGCTTGTTGAGCACTCCAATGAAGAGATGCAGTACCTGGAGCAGAACAAGGAGCTGGTGAAGATTGGTGGTCCCGAGGTTTTGAAGTCAGTTGCACTCCTGCACAGACAGCTCGGACATCCCAATGGAGCCAAACTGGTTCTGGCTGCAAAGACACGCCACATGTCCAACGAGTACGTGCAGGTGGCTCGACGATACCGATGCCCACAGTGCATTGCCAAAGCACAGCCAAAGGCAGTGCGGGTTGCCACACTTCACAAGGCACCCCATTTCAACCATACTGTGGCCATCGACACCTTCTACGTGGAGTGGGACAAAGAGAAGAAAGCAGTCTTCACCATCCTGGATGAGTTCAGCAGGTACGAGGTCGACTGTGAAATCAAAGATGAGACAGCCGAAATGGAGCTTGCACTGTTTGACTCCACATGGGCCAAGAGCTTTGGCTACCCCAAGATCATCAGAATGGATGCATCTGGACCCCATCAAGGTGAACTTTTCGCAGAATGGGCCTCCAACCATGGCATCAAGGTGAACCTGATCCCTCGTGGTGCTCATCACCGGCTTGGAATTTTGGAAAGGAACCATGCCGTGAGGAGAAAGATGCTGGAAACTTTCAAGGCAGAAGTTCCATCCTGCAGCTTTGAGCAAGCGCTGCTGGTGACGTCACATCAGAGGAACAGACTGAGTTCAGTCAAGGGCTCAACGCCAGCCACTTTGGCATTTGGCTATGTTCCCTCTGAGGGAGGTGTCATGGATGAGCCTGGTCCTGAAGCTTTTGGTGATCAAGCTGATCTACCACGGATCATGCAGATCAAACAACAGGCTGCAATCGCCTTTCACAAGGCCAACCAGGACTTGGCATTGAGAGCTGCTGCCCTCCATCGCTCACGCATCGAAGAGGATGAGCTCATGGTGGGTGACTGGGTCTTCTACTGGAAGCCTCAAACTCACAAGTTGGACCCCTTCAGATGGCGAGGACCAGCACTGGTCATTGCTGTGGAATGCACCACAGACAGAGCCACTACCATCTACTGGGTGGTTCATGGCAGCTCACTGGTGCGCACAACGCGCCAACAGCTCAGGCACGAAACAGTTCCTGAACGCTATGAGCGACAAGCCAAGCCTGGAGCTGAAAACGATCTTCAAAGACCCTTGGCAGACAGAATTTTGGCCGCTTTGCGTCCTGTTCGTGGTCCTGTCAGAGGTTTGGACTTGGCTGCACGTGCACAAACGCCTGATGATTTCCCTTCTTTGGGGGGTAGGTCTTCCATTCACACTTCAGATGGCACCGCTTCGGCTACTGCAGTCAGTCCCTCCACATGAACCAGCACAACCTCCGACTGCAACCGCGGCAGCCTCATCGATGGAAACCACTGAAACCACTGAAACGACAACTGCACAGGCGAGCACGGAAGATGAAAAGACTGACTTGGACCAAATGGCAAAGAAACGCTTGCCAGCACCTGTCAAGGACAAGGGCAAGAGCTCTGCAAAATTCCCAGCTCACAAACGGGAGAAGACTTCACCCAGTGGACTTGGACTTCGGGCAGAACCTTCTGGTGAGACTGCGGAATCTGCTCAGTTTGCTGATCGACCGATGGACTTCGAGATCACGCCTGAGCAGGCAGAGATCAGAGACCGACTCACAGCGATTCACCCTGGAATCATGGAATCACACAACTCCATTGCAGAGAACAACCAGGAACCAGCTGAAGATGATGCTGATCGTGCGCGTGAACGTCGCCACTTGGAACAGGCCATCAGAACAGCCAGCAGAATCTCCGAAGACAACAACCGAAGATTGGACGGCATCCCACGCCGCCAAGAAGATGGACAGGCAAAGCCAAAACAACCCAAGACGGAAGAGCTCCATCTCACCGAGATCACGGAGGAGGAGATTTTGCAGACAGTGGTCGAGAGCCGACTTGGCACTGAAGAGAAGAAGGCGTTCACAGAAGCCAAACGAAAGGCTTTGACACCCTGGTCTGAGAACGATGCATGGAGAGCTGTGAGAAGGGACAAATGCCCCAAGGGCACAATTGTTCCTATGCGGTTCTTGATCAGGTACAAGGAGGACAAGCCTCATGCGAGGGTGATCCTACAAGGCTTCAAACACAAGGATGTCTTGGAGTCAAAGCTGGACACCGAATCACCAACGATCTCACGACTTGGCAAATACCTGATGGTGCTCATGGCCTGCAGCAAGCGATGGCGCATTGGTACCATGGATGTGAAAAGTGCCTTTCTGCAGAGCGACTACATCCATCAGGAGGTTGAGATCTATGGTGAACCCTCGGCAGATATGAGACGTCTCCTTGCGGAGTTGATCGGCCTGAAGGAGCACGAAATCATGCAGATGACAAAGCCAGCCTTCGGTGATGTCAGAGCGCCTCGACAATGGAACGAGACAGCCGACAAAGCTCTGATCACTGATGTTGGACTTCTCAAGCACGAGCTGGACGGCTGCATCTACATCTCTGTGCGCTTGGCAACCAAGGAGGATGACCAGTTCACCGTCTTTGACATGGACGGCCAGAGCTACGTCGTCGATGGACTTTTTGGACTTCATGTGGACGACATCATGGCCTGTGGTGAATGGGTCACAAGCGCAGAAGATGCCAAAGGTCCTGAAGGTGATCACCCATGCTGTTTTGCTGAAAGGTTGCATGTGCTTCTCCACCGTTTCAAGTTTGGATCCATCGAGTACCATGACCAACAAACCTTCTGCGGCACACAGATGACGCAGGCGATGGATGGATCAACGGTCACTTTCAACCTCGAGAAGTACATCCACCAGCTGAAACCTTTGACGATCGAAAAGAGCAGAAAACAGCAGCCCAACGAGCGTGTCACACCTCGAGAGCAGTCACAGCTTCGAGGGCTACTTGGTGCACTTGCTTGGCCTTCCTTCCAAACGCAACCACACATGGCTGCATCGGTCTCCCTGGCTCAATCGGCAACTGCTTCGGCAACCATCTCTGACTTGCTGGAAGTGAACAAAACTCTGAGGTTTGCGAAAGAAACGGCAAGTACCCACTTGGTGCTCAGGTCCCACGGACCATTGCATCGCATCAGGTTCGGAATGTATTGTGATGCAAGCTGGGCCACAAGACCCGACGGTTCTTCCCAAGGCGGCTGGTTGATTTTCGTGGCCAACACGGACGAGATCAACAATGGAAAGCCATTTCCGCTGACGGTGATCGACTGGGCATCAAAGCGACTGACAAGGGTGTGCAGGAGTTCTCTTGCTGCGGAAGCCCAAACGCTTGCCATGGCCGTCGACTCCCTGGAGTGGCTGAAGTGCCTTTTTGCACTGATGATCTGGCCCAACCAGCGTCCTGACAACGAGGACATCATGAAGTGGCTTGGAGAATCCCCATGCATCACAGATGCCAGAGCGTTGTACGACGCCAGTGTCTCCAAAGCGCCCGGCATGAAGTTGACCGAGAAGCGCACGGCGATCGAGATCAAGATGAGCTGTGAAAGAATGGCCGCAGCATCTGGAATGCTTCGATGGTGCAACAGCCATCAACAACTGGCTGATGGGATGACCAAAACTTCGGCAAGGCAGAAACTTGCCATGGAACTGAAAAGAAAGATGCACAACCTTCTTTACGACCCTCAAGGTGTGGCATCCAAGAAGGTCAAGAAAGAGGAAAAACAAGAAGAACAAGACATGCTTGATCGAGCTGCACAAGAGTTTGAAAACCGAAAGAAGATCGAAGAAGGCATCTACACGGTGCGCGACATGGATGAGGAGGAGTTGGAAGAATGCCGACTTTGTCTCCTACCTGGATGTGGTCTCAAGGCAGAAGATGGAAAGAAATACTGCTCGAAGCGCCACCACCATGCGCATCAACACAAGCTGAAACAGAAGAAAGACACCGAGGACAAGGGCCTCGCAGAAGGACTTGTGTGGGGTTTGACTTTTGCCTCACAGGTCTTACCAGCTGAGGGGTACAGGATCACGGCAATCATGGAGTACATCCCCTCTGAGTTCTACCTGGCCATCAGGATTGACCAGGTGATTGGATTGGTCTTCATGCTGACCCTTGGCATGATCTTTGCCTACCACATGGGCAAACGAGCTGGACATCGAGAAGGGCAACAACTACATCATGGACGAGCGCAAGTACAAGGTTTGGTGGACAATCATGTCCAAACTGGAAGTGAATCAGAAGATTCCTCATCCTCAACTGATGAGGAGCCTGCTCAGCTACCACAAGTGGAACAGCTTCCCGAAGCGGAAGATGATCCTGGAATTCGGCCAGACGTGAGACGTCTGACAGCACCAGAGATTCGTCACTTGGTCGCCTATGGCTTTGAGGTGCTCAGCGGCCAGGAGGTGAACGACATCCGTGAGAGGTTCATGGCGACCTTGCAGCCCTCCATCGAGGACTACATGTCTGCAGAGCAGATCCAGAAGGTCCTGAGGGGCGATTTGGACGCACCTGAGGTCCCAGTCGAGCCAGCTGAGTGGCATGGAATTGGGCGAGTTCAAAGAGAAGCGATGGTGCGAGCCTTGGAGGACTCATTGCTCTTGGGCATCCCCTACGAGGCCATGAACGGGCAGCTGGCGCACGAAGCGCAGATCATCCGTGCCGAGCTGCTGACAATTCGAACGGTAGGATGTGAAATTCAACGCCTGGCAAGGCATTAGGTTTTCCAGCTGAGCAGTACAGATGGCAAAGTGTCCCAATTTTTCCTTTTTGGGCCTGTGTCAACATAGCTCATGCTGTTGTCATGTTTTCACATTTGCCATCTCGCAGGTGCTCCAAGGACTAAGGTCTTTGACTTGTGGCCATCTGGCCCAACTGCCACTTAGGGGCCCCTTGGAGCTACCGCATGGCACTTCGCGGACTTACCGCTTCCTGGTGACGGAAAAGGACTTGGACATCGCTGCCGCAGACTTCGTGGGCTACGCAGCTTGGGGATCTAGGCCTGTTGGGACGGTGGACATCTTGGTGTTTCCTGTGGTTCCCCTACGGCTAGATCGATAACGGACTATTTATCATGGATTCTTGTGGACTATGGGTGGAACCACTGATGGAATATTCATGGGTTATTAATCTTGTTTTTGGCTGATCCACTCCCTTAGAAAATAAGCTCTTCCATTGTGGTTCATCATCCCGGGATAGAACATGTGTATATATATATACATAGAACACTATATATAACTATATAATTATATATATAATATATATATATATATAATTTTCACGGAATATATATATATATATATGTATTATTATATATATTATATTATATATATTATTATATATATATTATATTAAATATATATATATTATTATAAATATATATATAATATATATATACGACAATTATTTCAAACCAACAACCGGTTGGGGATGGGGCAGAATAATTCAAGGGTTCCGGTTTCTTGTCGTTGGGTACTCAGAATTCGGATGGTTGGATAATAGTTGAAGGCGACCCTCTGGTAAACTATGGTAAACTAACCTAACTATGGACAATCACCATTTTTAATGGCTAAATCAACTATTTCAATGACCATTTTCACTAGCTATTTTGACATAACCAGAGGCTAAACATGGAAGCCCTTGCCCATCTCGAAAAGGTCCAGGATGCCCAGGGTCTCAAATGGTTCATGGCAAAGCTGACCACGATGAAACCATGAAGCCATTGGAACAGAATGAACTCTGAAGGATTAGTATAGAAGTGCTTTTTACAAAAAATAGGGTAATTCATGTTGCTGATCCCAGTCTGAAAACTCTTTCAAAAAAAGGTACTGTATAATTCGGGTGGGTGAAGTTTCACTCATCTCCAAGCCTGAATTGTTCACACCAATAGAACTGGCAGTAAAATGGATGTTCAATTCCGGTATTTCAACTCATTTCCATGACTTGTGACCTATATCCGTACTATATATTACTATATCCCATTGTGGCTTTGTCAACGATGGGAACCCATGGAACCCCCCCAAATTTGGCCATCAAACATGACCATCATCCGTCCTGAAGTTGTCCGACAGATCCACCACTCTGGTGGCCTTGGAATGCCACAGTCCATGGAGTTTTGAACAATGGGACATATAGATGAACATGAGGAGAAACATCACAGCACAGCTGGATCTAGTTGGTCCATGTTGGTCCATGTTTCTTCATTTTTCTGGTCTTTATTTCATTTTACATCACTTTACAGTGAATCGATGCAACTTGGCTTGTTTTGAACTACAATCACATTGAAAGCATGGATCCAAATTGGACCTCAATGTTTGGAAGACAAGCACGAATGCGCGCACACTCACTGACACTCAAACTCTTGAAGCCTGCACATTTCAGCTACTGTAATTTGGTGATTGAAGCAACAATTTTTGACCAAATTGAACATATATTTGACTCATGTTTGACCAGTTTTGGACCTTTTGTCTTCCATGATGCTATGATGATGCGATGTTCTTGGATAAATGTGTTACCCTCCAAATCGAACGGCTTAGGCCGGCAGCTGATTACCTTTCCGGGCATGTGGCATAGCTGGCCAATTTGCTGGTCATTTCCTGTAGAGCCTGGCGTCGAATTGTTCCTGGGACTGCCGTATGATGTCGCGGAAACCAATTTCATTGATACGGATACGTCCTAAACAAGGCCTCAATCAAATGAACTCGAATGATTTTTTCTTGTAATCATAAAATCATCATAAAATCATCATAACATATCATGATCAAAATCTATTGGCTGTTGAACAACTTGGCTTTTCTATCCCCATTCGACCAGCAACGGCAACTGCCGTTCACGGCACCTGCCCTTGTGCGGTGGCATTGCGCTCCGTCAAGGTGCGGATCTCCTGTTGCACCTGTCATCGCTACGGCGTTAGGACCTTTTTTTAGGCCACATGTTCTGGGGAGATTCCCCTAAGCCTTAAAAAGTTATATATGGTATTATTTTAGTGATTTGAGTATTTAGAGTATATAATCTATTATATAATATATATGTTGGAAAGTTTTTTTGTTTTTTATGATTTTTGATATACTCATTCCAATGACGTATATCAAACTAATCATCCCACTCTTTCATATTTCAATATTGGTAATTATATATGAGTGGTATCATAAGTGGTATCATGAGTGGTGATACTATCATTGTCATATGATCTATCTTGGGATCATGGATGATCGTGATCACTGAGTGGGAAAAAATAGTTGTTGGATTATTGTTGGAGATCTATTCCCGCAATGAGTTCAATAATATTAGGATTAGTTGGAATTCCCAATCATATTAGGATTATTAGGATTATTAGGAGTATTCCCAATTATAAGGATTAGTTTAATTATTGGGATTAGTTTATTAGGATTTTACACCATATTCCCATTATAATACCCATTAAATGACCCATTGCGGGATTATACACCATCTTAGGATTTTTATTATAATATCCATTGGGAATAATATGGAATAATCAATGTATCCCCAACATAATTCCCCAACATATTAGGATCACCCAATCCATATTATTCCTGCAGACTATTGGTGTATACCATCCCAGCAGTGCGGATGGGTGTATACCACACCATGGGATCCGATCCAGCCTTGGTGCGATGACCCGGATGAACATAGCCTCAGCCCATGACTGCAGGCTGATTGCTACACCATGAGCATGTATGATGAGGTGGTCAGGGTGGGGTGAAGACGGGTGAAGTCTGTTCAGAAAATGCTTGAGGGAACAGTCAGTCTCAAGGTCCATGGTTCCCGAAAAGATTGGCACACTGGCTGTTAATGGTTCAACTAAAACCTGGTGATACAGCAAGCGCCATTGAAAACAACCAGGCAGAACCACATTCAGTCTTCAATCAACGAAAGGAATGGGACATTGATGGAAGCATCAAAAATAACTTATCATCCAGCCATCATATGAACCTCGAAAGGGCCTTCTACCAGGGTCCTTCTTGCAAAGATCAGCGCAACAATCACATACAAATACAGAACATCAAACATGGCAATGGGAAACCAGCCATGTACCCTCTGGTAATTTAACATAGCTATTGAAAATGGCCATTTATAGTGGATTTTCCCATTAAACATGGTGATTTCCCATAGTTTTTTGTATGTTTACCAGAGGGTACCAATGATGTTCCCATGTACAAGACCTCCATTTTCTTCTGGAATTTCTTAGTCATCTTTGATTCTCCAGTGGCGTGTGGAGTCTCCAACTACCTGGGCACCCGCACCCAGCGATTGCATACCGTGCGATGTTTCCTTGAAAGATGCTTCCAACCTGGGACAGAGGTGTTGACGTGTCATCAAACAGGTGGTTTATAGCATATATATATATGAATATCTGAAGTTTTTAGTTGATGGATGGTCATTGGGCTATACAACAAAGATATATCTACTTGGCATCCATATGCCACCATGGTAGATATCAACAGTTACTGGGGCAAACTCGGGGGTCCCACCGAGTTAAGAATTCAGCAGAATTTTCGCAGAATCTGGTGGGAATAAATCAGTAAACAGCAAGTAAAGCAAGCTAAACAAAAGTGCGGAACCGAATTGCATGAACTTGCAAAAAAATAGAAAGTAAATATGTATATCATCGAATTTCATGGTCTTGCTCAGTGTTCAAAACATAGCACCTTCTAGCTTTGTAAAAGAGCCTGATCATTTAAGGCGTGCCAACCTTTGCATCAAATCAAGTCTCCATGAATAACGTACTCAGCAGCCCAATCACATACCAGTGCCCCACCTAAGTCTTATCACACTCCAATTATTGTGTAGTTTCTTCCACACAAATGATCAAGATCCATCTATGGCCTGATGTGGTGTCATGACGCTGATAAATTTATCAAACGATACATACAGTATACAAGAATTCCGCATGTATACCTGTAATGAAATATGGATATATCCATATTCATCATTGATGCTAGTAAAGCAATGTCGTAAACCAGCCATATGGATTGATGGTTTATAGAACCGATAAATTTATGATGACGACTTGGGCATGGTGGATCCTATTGCTCTACCATCATTATTCATCTTCATCTTCATCATCATCATCATCAATATCAATAAATGGGGAATATGTATATATATATATGGGAAAGTCACTTATGAATGGATATTTACTGGAACATCATGGAACTAAATGCTGAAAATTCCATCATCATTAATCATCATCCATCATTTTAAATCAGATATTCATCGGATTCCGTGACCAAAAGAGCAGGCCTTGAGAAGGCCTTCAGATCCGTGGGCACTGAGACCTGCAAAGGCGGTGACTGTGGGCTCAGGCGGCCTAAAGTCATAACTGGCCGACTGGGATGCATTTGGGATGATGTTTTTTTCTGTATGTATCCGACTTTTCAGCATTTACTCACTTTAGGCATGATGCCAGTAGATGGGGTGTCTCAATATGTCTCAATGGCATTCAATGGCTTTGAGAACTTGAAACATGATGAGAAATCTGCATCTACTTCAGCATCTCACCTGCGCTCCGGGTAGACACTCCTGCAGCAAACCCTTGTAGAGTCCAAGACCTCGGCAGGAAATGTTTGGATTCGCAGATGACCAGTGACGATGAATGGAATGAGATGGGTCTGTCTGAAAAAGCGGGGATTAATGGGGATTCTACATGAATCTAGCTTGACTTTTATGGCCAGTGATATATGGGGAAAATGACGATGAAGCAGCAGATTTAGGGGAACCCCATTTGCAGACCCCTGAGGGGCCACCATGTTTCCAATGAGCGAATGGAGTTTCATTTTGGGAATTAAAATAGCTAGAGAAAGCGTATGAAAATGGCACATTTATAGATATTTAATGATATTTATATATTCCACAGCTGTGTTCAATTACCAAAGGGCAAACCATCCAATTTTGTCTGGCTTACCCAGTGGCTCATTCACCTACCCGTATCCCTTTACCTGGGCGTATCCCTTTACCTCGGCCCCACACAAATGAAGACAGCTCGTAGTTTCTCCTGTTCCTCCTGCCATATGTCGTCCAAGAATGTCCAAGAGATAACAGACTTAACTTCAAAGCCACTCATCCAAACTCTGCTGGCAACTGATATTGTTTTGCCATAGACTCTATATATAGCGGTAATGAGCTATGCACCCAAAGAAAACTCATTGAACAAGTCCCCTCTGGTAATGATAATCAAACATGGCCACGGAAAATCACCCATGTAGTTCGATGATTTTGCCATTCAATCCTCCATTTATAGGTGAGTGTTCCCATATTTTTCTGATATGTCTTCACGATTTTCCCATTAAAACCAAAATTTATATTGACAATTTGTGGACTTGAAACCAATCAGCAACCCTGAAACAGGCGCGTTTGAACTCCCCTCGCACCTTCCGTCTTCGCCTGGCTGTGTCGTGTTGTAATCCCATCCCCTTGATATTAAACACTCCCTAAGTAGTCCAAAAAAGTCCGAAATGTCAGTAAATCATGGTAAATCCCCTTCTATACCATCGCTTTGGGTGGGCGGTTCATAATTTGATCATGTAATGTTTAATTTTATTATATAGAGGAATGGGATTACGCACAATCAAATATGGGTGATTATGGGTGTGTCTCTGAAATTGATGTATACCGCACAAAATAAAGCCATGAAAACTGGGCCAAATGATGATCCACCATCAAATTCGGGGTTTTCCATGGGTTTTCCCATAATTTGTGTTTTTTTTTCCCATAAGTTTTTTCCATCATTTTCCATAGCTTACCATAAATGTTCCATGAGTTTTCCCACAGAATAACAACAGCAGTGTGACCTGGGGGACTAACCCCAAGCAACGATGGACCCCAGCTGTGCCGCCTTTCTTGTGTGAGCCAAGGGTCATGACCTTGGTGATCGTGGTGTAGCGACAGCCACACATGGGGGGAAGGGGGGGTACTGGTGACTGGAATTTGATATGGCTAGTGACAAGGGCATTTTGGGGGATGTGATATATCATAAATATGAATAAATATGATATAAATATGATATATGATGTTGATGTAATGTTTGAGACCCAACTTCCTTGGTTACTTTCTCTTGTTCGAATCAAACAGACGACTAATACCCTCTGACGGTGCTCCCACCAACTGCCTGGACTTTCCCCAGCCAGGAGCCCTGGCTGTGTCCAACCACCGCCTTCCAGGAGTCATTGATGCCTTCGGCTGAAAGCCAACCAACCACTCAGAATGATCCACGAAAAAGTAGCACACATACGGACTACCCTAGAGTAAACATGAGTAAACTATATAACATAAATGCGGAAAACCATGGAACAACCCACCGTTTACCACGGCAAATGATCTCCAAATGGTGGGCTTTTCCGCATTGAACTGTTGGTCACTGTCGACCAATCCATGGTTCACCAGTTGAGTTTACGCGCCTGTGAAGAGGCGAGTCACCTCAAGGGGCTTCCCCTATTAATTGGTAGATGAATTAATCCACCAATATTATTTGCCACTTATTGGAATTTGATTTAATATTGGTGGATTAAATCATCCACCAATAATCATCAATCCACCAATAATCATCAATCAATGCCACTTGTGGATTGTGGATGATGAATCTTGTGGATGATTGATGATTATTGTGGCATTGGTCGTTTGAAAAGTTACATCAAAAAACTGGCTGGAGTTACACGAAGCATTTGCGTTCCTACTGCGGTTGCTGTTGGCAAGATTGTCAGAGATATCCTGTACTTCGCAGCAAAGTAGGATGAATTAGGGCGGGTACTGGTCGGCACAACAAAAACATTGTGAGCCGTTGCTACCTGCACCTGCATCTTCAATCTATCCGAATCACCCTCACATTGGGAACAGCACCTTGAAAGTTTGAAACCATTCAACTGCAGCATTTGCACAACTATAGCAGCAATAAAAACACCATATGGATAATACGTATGGATATTCAATTCCGAAAAATCAATTACAGCTTCAAGTTTCAGTCTATATTATATAATTGTATTTTTTTTTCCAACAGGCGCTCAGAAGTTAATCACTGCGACCCTACAACAAAATGAATTCAGAAATCTATACATTACCCAGCGTAATCCTGTCCCAAATGGCAAGAGAATTTCTGCACAAAAAGATGGGCACATTTGGACAAGAAATCAACAGGACACACGCTGTGCTCCACATCAAGCGGGGTCTGAATCGCTGAGTAAAAGGCAAACGCAAGGCCTTTACAAAAGGCAGGGGGGTACTCTTTCAGTGAAGTAGTAGCCCATCCGCCATCAGATGTCTTTCCAATGGCGGCCCTGCGTGGTAATTCGCTCGTCACCCTGTGCTGATGCAAGATGCCTTGGAGGTCCGGCAGATTGAGAGCCAGCAGCGAAGTTGGTTTCGGTGTAGCCGCTCCGAGAACTCCCTGGCACAAGGTGAGAAGTTCGAAGCCAGGCAAAGAAAGGATCACCTGCATGATGGGTAGCTTCCAGACGGAGGCAGCTTGCTCAGAGGATGGCTGTGCCGGATGCTCCATGACTGCAACTCCGTCATACAGCGCCAGGTACAGAAGACAGATCAGAGTGAATGTCAAAAGATCATTCCCAACACAGACCTGTAATAGTTCCTTGAGTGCAAGGCTCGCATGACCCCACAAGTCAGTGGCATCTCGAATTGGACGTGGCCCCTTGATGCCTTGTTGGAGTTGCACAGCCCGAGCCACACTCCATGTCTCGCATGGCGGTCCACCAAGAAAGCCAACCACAAACCTTTGGGTGATGCCGTGAAGCCAATATGCTTGCGCTTCCGCTGCCGATGCATCTCCAAGATGAACGTCGTACAAGATGTCCATGGAGGCCGTGTGAATCACCACATCATCAGGCAGATGAACGCAAAGCTGGTCAAGATAATACTGGAAGTCCCCTGGTCTGCGCCGACCAGCAAACGCATGCAGGATGACGCGATGTCGCCCCCAGATGCGAGGAATCTTCTCGAAGGTAGCACACTCCAAAGCATCCAAAGAGGACGTCAGGGCATCAAGGGATTCAAAGCGTGTGTTCACATGCCGCTGTGCTACATTAAGGAAATCCCAAGAAGAAACCCTGGTTAGCTTCTTAACAACCTCAACAACTTCATGCTTACTCCGAACCCCAAACTCATCAAAAGCGTCCTCAAGATGCTCAAGCAACGCAGTGAGAGTACAATGGCAGGTGCTCCAGGAGATGGCTCTCGACTGAATGTGGTCCCTGAGCTCCGCTTCAAGGGAACGTGCACCTGGGGTGTCATAGAGGAGCAAGGAGAGATCAGCAAAAAGCTGCCAGTTCGTAGGATCAAAGTCACGGTCACGACTCGGAGGAAGTGAAGGACCAAGAGCTTGCAGAGGTGGCAACAAACGGTCATGTGCCTGCTCAAGATCTCGGTTGGCACAAGAACCAATGCCTGGGACTGGAGCAGAACCACAGGAACGGCCCAACCATTGCGTCCTACAAGCTTCTACACATCGCAGATGTTGTTGCAACTTGGCAAAGGTGAAATATTCTCGCAGGCAAATGGCACATTGTGTACCCTGAAAAAGATGTCGTACAGGGTGAACATATCCATGGACTTTGTGCATATGCGAGCCCTCTCCTGCCCTGTTTTTGCAAACCTTGCCACATTTCATGCACCCAAAGGCTGTCTCACCGAGGTCATCTTGGTCAAAGGGCTGTGGAACAGCCACTCCTCCACGTTCCAAAACCTCCAAAGCATGAAGATGAAATCCAAGAACTCGATGATGTAGTCCTCTTTGAAGGATGGCATGTTGAGATGCTCTGCGGATGATCCGTTTCCAATATTGGCGATGCCAACGAATGAGATCTAACCATTGCGCAAGGTGAGAACAGGGGTCTTGAAGATGTGAAGCATTTTGCAACTGCCGAAACACCCATTGTAGGTCATCTTGCAGCAATGCAACCCAATCTGTGTCCAGATTGAAAAGACCCCAGCAAGTAGCTGATCCAGCAGCAACCAAAGAACTCAGATACCGTAAACGCGCAATGCGCAATAGTTCTGTGGGTGAAGGGAGGCCCGTTTTCACCAGAACTTCCTCGTCACTGATGTGGTCTCCAGGTCGAATACGCAAGAGTCTTTTGTATAGTCGAATAAGCGAAGCGTGCACATAGCTCTTGACGCGTTGACCATGAAGTACCCAGGACTCCACACCGTACAGAAACTTACTTAAAACCAAACTGCGAAAGATTTCAACCCGCTTGGCCAAAGAAAGGTTTGGATTCTGAAGGAGAAGCTTGCGGAACTTGGTGAAGGTTTGATGTGCCACCGCAATCTTTCTGCGCACTTCAACACGTAAATCCCCACTGTGGTGCAAAACGCCTCCCAAGTGAACATAGTGCCCCACAACAGAAACTTGGTGTGCTTGATGTTCTCCCAAAACTGGAAGGAGCCCATTGGAATGCGGACCGAAGATCTGCTTTTTGAAGGTCCTGCTGCCTGGCCCTCTAGCAGAAAAGATAATTTCGGTCTTCCCTTTGTGTAAATTGGGAGTCATTCCATGCTGCGCACAAAGGTCGAGCAAAAGACCAGCAGCAGCACCAGTGCGTACGGTCAGATCATCAGCTCGATCTGCACTGACGCAGACACAAAGATCATCGCACCAGCAAGGACCTACAAAACCAATGTTGCCCGTCTCCACACCATGAAGGACATCAAAGAGCAAAGGTCCATCCTGAGAGGGTATCTTTTCAAGAAGACCAAGAGCTTCCATCTGCGTCTGAAACTGATGTAACACTTTGGCCCAGAGAAAACCAAAGATGACGTCAGCAAAGGCGTCCCCTGGCCTGCTCCCCAAGGCAGTGACACATCGGTCCGACTGACCGTGAAGCCCAAAATGTGTATCTTGATGCAGTGCACTGAAAGCTCTCTGTGCATGTGCTGGCAATGATGCCTCCTCAACTGCGCAAGAGCTTCCCAGGAGCGTATGGAGCTCGTGAAGAGCATCTTGTCCAAGACTCAGGCGATCCGCAACATGTGCTAGAAGCTCATCCGGGCATTCAAGAGGTAGAGCAAGCTGTCTGATGACTCTATAGAACGCTTCGGTGAGATCTAAAAATATAAGGGCCGTGGAACGCCCACGTGCACACTGGATCCTTTGAAATGCACGGGCCTGATGGACTCCTAACGTCACCGGTGTGCCTCTCCGGCCGCCAATTTGTTGGGCTTGCATGTACTTCTCATACACACTAGCATGCTTAATCCTCAACGTACGATGAATGCTCTTGCCCAAGTTTGAACTGATGAGAATAGAGCGGAAAGATTCACATGCCCCTTTATCTCCTTTCCCTTTCCAAAGAGGAAAAAGCCAGCCACCCTTGTGAAGTAAGGGTTCATGCCCCTGGAGGGCAGTCTTCAGCAACAAGGAAAAGGACTGCTTGGCAACTGCGGCCGGGAAAAAATGAAATAATTCCGCTGGAAGTTGGTCAGGGCCAGTTGCCTTTCCAACGCGAGTTCGCCTCACAGCTTGTTCAAGCTCAGTCAGTGTTGGCACTTCTTGGATCGCAACATCCATGTGTTCAACTCCAATTTGTCCCAAATTCTGAATCCAACGACTACGCTGTGCAGTAGCGTCCATCCTCTTGCCGGCTTCCATCTGCATGAAAAAGCGAATCCAGCGCTCTCTCGCCTCACTTGGATCAGCACAAGGTAGCCCAGTTTCATCGCGGACAAAGGGCAATGGCTGGATTCCTCTCTTCTTGGCATTGGAACTACCAATGAATGGTTTCAGCTCATGAAGGATGGTCGAGGCTGAAACATTGTCCGGAAAGGAGTCAAAAACCTTGGTCAGGGCAACCCTCTTGGCAAGACGCAGTTCTTTGCGAAGCTGTCTTGCCGTAGAAATGAGTCCCGCTGCATGTTTGATTCCACCACATCGAAGTGAGACACCAAAGGAGAACTCTGCCGTGAGAGGACCATCACATGTTTGAAAGTGCTCATTCTTCCATGCTTTGAAACACAAAGAGATAGTCTCTCGTCCAATCATCTTCTGCACAAATCTCAGCTGTCGGCGATGACACAGTTTGCGGCTACGTAGTGCCCAGATGTCATCAGAAATGAAGGGCTTTTTGGGCCGCTTCTTCTGTGCTCGGCAGCGTTGAAGTTGAGAAAGAAAATGCGCATTCAAATCATGCAGGTGGCTCTCTACGTCAGTGCTCCAAGGCGCTACCTGGTGATTCATCAAACTATTGGACTCCAGAGAACTGCTGATTCGTTGCCTGTCAGAGCCAACTCCATTGTTGAGTCGCGATACCTTGGAGGTCCAATGGTCCCATTGTAGTTCTACCCCAACCGCAAGATGATCAATCTGCTGCTGTCCAAGATCAAAATCTTCAATCGTCTGTGACCACGTACAGGATGAGAAGAATGCTCTGGGAATCGCAACAAAATCAATGCAAAACTCCTGGGACCCATCTGGGCAAATCCATGTGTGCTTCGGGCCAGCATGAAAGGATGCCGTAGATGGTAAACAAAGAGAATGCTCATCAAGGAATTGCCTCAAGAGTGGTGTTCCACTACTAGTGCGGAAGCCCTGCTCAAAAACCGTGACACCGTCGGCTTCACCTGGACCCGCATTCACATCAGCCATAAGGAAAATAGAGTCCTCTTTGCCCAAACGCTGTAATATTTCAGTAGTTTGTGTCCACCACTCACTTCTTTCTGCAAGACTGACCCCGCTTTGAGGTGCATGACACACCAAAAATAAGAAGGTCTCATCTTGAAAAGTAGTTCTGACAAGGAGACGTCTGGGATCTCGATGCAGCACCTGAAAATCTCCAGCTTTGAAAAAGAGGGGAACACCTTTCACGAAGCAAACCGGTTGATTCAAATTGCACCATAATTCGACACCAAGGTGACCACCCGCACTGCCAGAGCACAATCGAAGTACATTTCCAACAGTGGTGGTGCCTTCCTGTGATCTAGCTTCCTGGATACCCAGCATGTGCAAATTGAAGGCAACAAATTGCGCTCGCAGGAAGTCAATTTTGCCTTGGTATCCTCCCTCACCAGAGCCTAACGTGGTCACATTGGCAGAGGCCAAGCTAAGCTTCCAGGCTGCCCTTTGCCAAGTGTGGGTCCCTAGACCGTTGCCACCAGCATCATCAGTCGACTGCAGAGGAGGCAAACTTGGGCGCGCAACGTCAAAACCATTGCCACAAAACTTGGGACCACCATGGTGTTCAGCAAATAGGAGCCATAGGTGTGGAATCACGCTTTTCCATTTGCAGAGATCAACAGGCTGTCGTGGAAGAAAGAAACTTTTGGTACCTTCAAGCTTTGCCAGTGCGTCTGTGACTTCATTCAAAGGATCTCCATTGTGACCATGCACGTGTTCAACTAGCAAATGCCCATCAGGAAGTGCTTCTTCAAGTGCTTGAAAAACGCCACGGAAGAGCATGAAAGACAAGTCCAGATCCGCACAACCAATAATTCCTTGCGCTTGCCCGCAGCATAAATGCGAGTCACTTCGGAAGAGGGTGGCCGTATTTTCATTGCGGCAAAGGCGCCATAGGGCAGCAAAGAAAAGTCCTTCTCTTTCTGCAATGAGGGAGCCTATTCGGGTGGCCCCTGCAAATCCAGGGTTGGTCTCTTCATATCTCACTTGTTGAGCCTGCCAACCAAGGAGACAGAAAGCTTGGTCCGGTGGCACATCATAAGTCTCTCCAATGGCGACAAATGCCCATGAGTCTGGAATGCCATGAAGGTCAACCCAAAGAGGAGCACAATGTTTCTGCAAAGACTGAGAAGAACCATCAACATAGACGATGATGCGATCGTACTTCTGGGCAGGTTGCAGAGTGGCCATAAAGGGCTGCGCAACTTCCGGAATTTCAATACCTTCAAAAGAGGTGCAAAGTGTCCCTGAGGATTGGAAAAGCTCAACTAGGTCATGAAGCTCCACTCCAAGACGCAGAAAGCAGGCCGGATTCATAGGCTGTTGCTGAGTAAACTCAAAGATCTCAGTGAATGAGGTCACAGGCTGCCGTGCTGGAGGCCAGGCTTTCAAGGGTCTTGACCGAAGCTGCTTCTTGTGAAGGATGCCAACTGATTCTTGAAAATCAACTACGGTAAGTCCAGGCAGACATTCTTTTTCCTTCAAGATGACCGCTTTTTCATAACCCAGCTGGTGAAGAAAGCGCATATGGCAAAGCTCCTGCATCAAGGATTCACTCGAGTGCAAGATCACCCCAGCAGAGTCAGTAGCATCTTGATTCACATAGATGAAATGTACTCGATCTAAGCTAGGAACGCCATCTTGGGGAAAGCAGACTGCAACATCATGAGGCTGACAGAGTACAACCTTACATTGATGCCCCCAATGGCGTAGCTCTGCCTCAATAGAACATTCATCAAGGGGTTCAAGTACCTCAACAAAGTCAGGTATCAGAGTAATTTCATCATGCCCTCGCAGAAGTCGCACAGCACTGGTATGCAATTGCTCATCCACCGAGATCGTATCTGAAGAACCATCATGTAGATGAGAAGGAATCAATTGTGCCAGTTGTAGCGTCACAACTTCATCACCGGCAGCTACAGGAGGAGGAAGCGGTGGCAAGCGCCGGAGCTGAACAACAATTCCGTAGCCATTTCGTCCTGGCAACGGCTGGCCCCAACGCAAAGGTGTGTCACCATGCCACGCCCAGCACTGATGTGTGGGCCTCATGCCCAAGACTGCATCAAAATAGCCAATGGATGTCAAAATGTGCTCCAAGTAGATGTTTTCCCAGATCGTGACAGCAATGCGTGCTCTCAGCGGAAAAGGCCGAACCTCTCCTTCAAAAACTGAGACCACTACAGAGACAATGTCAACACCGGGAGACTGCACAAGAAGAACACTAGCCAAAACTTCATGCTCCATCGGCCGGGGCGTTGGTGATACAATCAAAATGTCCAGAGTTTGCCCTTCTCTGACTTTCTCACTCCAGGCCTGTTTGAGTCGCTGCTGCCAGTTTGCAAAATCCGAAAAGAGACGTACAAGCCGCCCAGGTGAGCAAATCGGAATGACATCAGTATGATCAACAAAGAAGGTATGGACCAAGCCAGACCGATCTTCATTCTCCCACGCAAAAGCAGCATGATCCCAAAGTCCAAAAAGAGCTTGTACAAATTCTGGCTGGGTATCAATGGAAGGTCTATCTGGACTGAACGGTGCAGCATCAGCATTCAGACAAAAACCTCCATGGTGACTTCGCCCTCCTCTTTGGCCGCCAGAGTGGCGACGCCCTTGAGTATGCTGTCCTGTGCCCCTCTGCATAAATGCAACTTCATCTTCATCAGTCGCAGAAGCATGTGGAGGTGCAACTTTGACAATGATGTTGGCAGCGTTGTCAACCTCCTCAAAGTCAAACATGGCAAAGGGAAAGTCACGCCAGCGTACTGAACAAGTCCGCATGTCACATTCATCAGTTAGTTCTGCCAAACGAATGATGGATCGTGAGTTCTGCATAGGAGTGGTAGAGAATGCCAAATGTGAAACTCCAAGTCCTCTACGATCATCAACCCAAACCGTGACAAGCAGCGAAATACGCAAGGGTGAGATGGCCTGCTCAACAATGACATGAGCTTGATTGCATTCAAAGATGGTACAAGGTGGACATGGATGCACAACACTCAAGGTGACAGGCTCTTCCGGTCGAATCAAATCTCATCAGACCAGCTTTCTGCGGGCCCAGCAAGTCGTACGGGTCTGGCATCTCGACACTCTTGGAAGATATCATGGTGAAGATACCAAGTAGTGATATATGCAATGCGGCCTTCCTCTTCACATTCAATCAAGTTCGCCTCTCCCACAATGGCATTCAGTCGAGATTCATGGCCAATTGCAAAAGCTCGCCTTCCATGAGGGGCTGTCGGAGTTCTTCCATTTGAAGCTCGACGTGGTTGTTGGTCAAACCATCGCAATTCATGCAGCAAGTTGTCAGCGCTAAGTTCATGAAGCGCTACAAGCTGTGTCTGAAAGTCCGCAAGATGCATTTGCAACTTTTCGGCTGATGCTTGAAAGAAAGAGACGGAGCTGCCTTGGGAATGGCACACTGGTGGCTGTGCTAATCCAAAATCCCTAGCTATCGCAATAGCTACTTCAGTGTCCAAACTTGGGTCATCAGGCGGAGGCACCTGGATCCGGATGTAGTCGCCATGAGCGATCCTATGAACTGTGCGATCATGCTCTTGCCAAAGGTTGTGATTTTTGAAAATCATACATCGGCTGGCTTGAAGCTCACAGTAGTCGTTCAAGGCAGTGAGGAGCAGGATCTGGCGACGATGAAGTTGATCATACACTCGCATCACTCTCCTGCTTGTCGCAGCAGGGACATGAAGTCCAGTTGGCAAAGGATGAAAATGCAACTCCACATCCACGAGCACAAGCTTTTCCGACGATCCAGGGGATATGTCATGAATTGATTGAAGGATAAGTGCTTCTTCAGCTTCGTCATGCACTCCAACAGGAGACACAGCAACAAAGTGAAAGCAGCGGATCTCACTTCTTGGCAAGTGTTGGAGCCGAATGACATGGTCCAGAATCTCATTATATGAGTTCCACGGCACAAATCCATGCAAATCAGGTTCTCCAAGTCGATAAACAAGTACACCCATATCATTGGTGTGCAAACCGTCAGAACTACTCCCATGGTCACTTCCATCTGGTTCATCAGGTTGTATGTCAAAATCGCAATCTTCCGCATGGTCACGGTTGTCCTGAGACGGATCAGCACAATCAGCTTGTTCTTCTGAACCAAGAGCCGGTGCATCAGGTGCCTGCGTGCCACTGCTGTCCCCAATATCCGCTGCATTGATCACAAGCTGAAATGAGTGTCCATAATGCATCACGTGCACAGGATTGCGATTGAAAGGGAGTTCTTGCCAACCATGAGTGATTCGACATCGATGCCCTTGAAGACACCAATTGGTTGCATGAGCAATATCCGAGACTTCCATGCCACTGATCCTGCCTGGAAAGGATGCTGCCGTGGCATACACAAAGGGCGCAGTCTGCCGCCCATGATAGTGTAAAGTGACAAGTCCAGCTTTTCGATCCAACCACTCTCCCTGAGAAAGGATGAGGTCTGCGTGGAGAACCTGATGCTCGTAGCCTCGGTATGGGTCTGGTGTCACAATCTGGTAACGGATCTCTTCATTTGGATGAATGAAATCTCTCCAGGTGGAAGTCAAATCTCGCTCCCATGTTCGCCAGTCTTCGTACAGCTCAACGGTGCGTGACAGCGTCATTCTGCGATGATGTTGATGATGAATGTACCATGTACGCACACGAAAAGGAGCATCGTCATCAAGGTCAGTAAAGACCCCAGCTAGGTCAGCAGCTGTGAGAAGATCTCGAATGAAAATAGGAGCATGGAAAGGATCTGGAATAACATCAGGGTCAGGAACAGGTACATCCCTGTGCATATCAACTGGCGTAGGTTCCAACCAGTTGTCCAGAAGACGATACTTGGAATACCAGGGTGCACACCGGATCGACACGGCCTCTTCGGACAGCGGTTCCAGGTGGCACAATTCTTGGTCAAAATCGTGTGATCTACGTGCCCAAGGCTTCTCCTGCCAAGTCGAGAGCTCATCATGGGAAATAGTCACAGCACCCATGGCAAGGTCTTCATCAAGTCCAAGCAAAACAGTAACGCTCTCATCAAACGACGGACAAGCCACATGTCTCTTCGCGAAGGAGCGCACAAAAGAAGGATTGGAACTGTTCACTCGGAAAAGTGGAATACCAAGCTCAAAGGTGAGAATGTGTGCTCGGGACAATGCTTCTGAAATGGAGCAAAAATCCGATTCTTCCATAATACTATGCTGATACTCCCATCCAGGAAAATCACCATGACAAAGCGGAGGCTTCTCACAGATGTACTCTGAAGTCACATGCTGTGAGCCTAGCCAAAAGATGGCTTGGAGGCACCATCTCCTCCATCGGGGGCCAAGTTGCCAACTTGCTCCTCTGGAGTGTTGCTCTTTCTGGGCCGCTTCTTGGACTGCTCTTCCGCATGGTCTCGATCTGCTTGATTGGCCAGTTCCTGCAACGATGAGGTGAGTTGTTGAAGGCCCTCGTTGATCCGATGAGCACTTTCGTCTCTCATAGCCACATCCGGTTGTACCGTGGCCTCCTCCTCGTCGGGAACTGTGATAATGCCCCCTTGATCCTGCTTCTCTCTGAATGCCACCTGTGCTGCACGTAGTGTGTCCCGTGCTTGAGCAATGGTTGCAAGGTGAGCTTGCTCCTGATCTTGAAATCTTTTGGTATATTCGCTCCAACGTTGCACACTTGCATGAAGAAATTGTCTCCACGATGCAAGGGATTGGGACCTGTCTGACAGAGCTTCTTCCAATTGCCGCTGTGCCTTGCCCAATTCTGTGACAGCTTGGTGCATATCCTTGATCTGATGTTTGCTCTCCTTGATATTGGTGTCCTTCACCACCGCCTGAATCTGAGGGGGGAGAGAGTCTGCATTCTGTTTGAGCACCGCTAAGACCTGCTTGAGCTGTGCCTCTGCTTGCGAGGGTGCCAAAGCCGTCGGAGGATTCGCCACTGCAGGGATCGATGGAGATGGTGGGATAGGCCAAGCCGTATCTCCCTGACCCACTGTCCATTCTGGAAGAGCAGGAGGAGGTGGAGGCGCCAAATAAGGGCCAGGCTGTTGCTGGTTCATCCCCTTTGAAGCATCTTTCCCTTTCAAACCTCCTTTGCGTCCTTGCCCTTTCGAACCCTTTCCTCTCGGCGTGCTGCCTCTCTGTTGAGCGGGAGCTTTGTTTTGGCGACGACGTGGACTCTGAGAATAGCTGTGCTGCCCATGCCACTGGGGATGATAACTGTCCCCCGCAAAATGATCTCCCTGATGAGTCTCTGGATGGTTGCTGACAAAGGATGAATCCGCACATTCGTGCCAGTGTCTCCCACATTCCGGACAAAATTGTGCGTTTCCTTTGACCAGTCTTCTGCAAATGAAACATCTCCATGGCTCCTTTTTGAAAGATGTCATTGCTACCTCGATACGGCGTATTAACTGCAAATCTCGAGAATGATGTGAGTTGAGCGTGGCCAAAAGTCGCTTCAACTGGTTGTATTTCAGGTCGATAAAACCCTTCTGAAACAGGTGCCAATTGAGTCGCGCTTTGGCTCTGAGTCGACGTTGATTTCTGCGTTGGGAGTTGGTCGCCGTGGTCCTCCACAAGAAAGTTGTTGAAGCCCTCAACAGCAAAGTTCTTGGTGGCCAGGTCGAAATCCAAAAAAGCAGGAAAACAAGTGACCGTCTCCTTGTCCGGAATCGAAATGAGGAGCAAGAGGAACCAGAATGCCCAAAACATAAACAGAAATGGCCAAGATGACAGCCAAGAAGTAATACCCAGGTGGTTTAACGAGCCTGGGAGCTCAGATCTGCCTGGTGAATACTGGGAAGTTCCAGCAGAGCACTTGCAAAACGGAGGCCAGAGCACAAAAATGTGTCAGTTCAGCCAGCGCAGCAGAAAAGGTCGCAAAAGATGGCGAAGCGACCCGCGGGTGAGGCAGAAGGACCCGCTCAGGATAAGGGAAACGTCAGGGGGCACTACAACCCTCCTGAGCCCAAACCTTTATAATTGTATATATATATATATCATACATATTATAGCATCATTTAAATTTAAGTACTTTGTCATCCTTTATGCACCAAAAATCGAACACCAGTTCTGAGACTCCAAGCCCATTGAGATGCATTGTCCCACTCCTTGAAATGCAGCTCAATGGATGCCTGGAGAGCTTGGACGACCTTCGCTCCTTGTGGTGACTTGAAACATCAACGAAGCAGTAAATTTGGTGCAGACATTTGGAGCGTAACCATCAACCGACACTATTTGGCATCTTCATCATCCCATAGCTATCACAGTTTGGACCGGATCTGATTCAAGCCATCAGAAAGTTGGGACTTGGATGAAGACATCGGACCCTTGCGGACCACCACCTTCAGAAGATCCACTTTCTGCTGGTAGGACTTGTCAAAGATCACACACGCATCTAAGCCCTCAGAGGAACAGTGCAAATCACCAGCTGATTTGTGCAGAGATCAGATCTGGTAGAAACATGTAGAAACGGTCCAACTATACACAGTGATGGCGTAGCCATACCTTGGGGGTATCTCCCCATTTCTGGACCCAGCCTGAATGGCATCCGCTACCGTCTCGTTCTGCGACTCACAGGTGTAGCCGAAGGGCTGAGTGGCGGCCCAGGGCCAACCTCACATTGTGCATTGTTTCCCTGCTACAAAGCTATTATACGAACGGGAAGCAACCAAAGAACATCAACAAAAACCGTACTATAGCATACTATAGCTATATACAGTACTATATATATACTATATATATACTATATATATACTATATATATACTATATATATATGATATATGCATATATAATCTATTTATTTTATATCTCCAGTACGTATCTTGTTCTCTGGAAGAGCCACCTGGAAGCACTTGTCATGTCCCAACAATCTGTCGACGCACACCCAAGTTCTTATGTTTTTTGAATCTTCGAAACGTGAAACTTGTTGAAATGTTGGGACCCATTTTTTGAATGTTAGTGATGTCCAATAACAAACCTACCATTTAGGGATGGTAGGTTACCACCCATTTATGGAAATAGTGGAGGTGGCTTATCATTGGGTTTATCCATTCTATGTATTGTAATGTTCATCATCATTCGTGTTATCATGTGATGGTAATTCCATGTATTTTATTAATTAGATTTTTGTTATCATAATGTTAATTCTTGAAGAACTTCAGTTAGACACGGCACACTTAAATAGTAACTGATCTATTTCTGGATTATCGCATATATTATGGGAAAATAAAAACATGTTCCAAACCACCAACCAGTAACTATTAAATTAGATTAAATTAGTACCACGCAAAAAATGTCGTCGCACCTTCATCACCTTTGAGGCACAGCTGCACTCGAAGCTTCTGCAGCCTGGCCGTGAACGTGATAGTCGCAACGGGGTGCCAAGAATTGATGACACTGTGAAAAAAGTAAATTAAGTATGGAATATTATGGTAAGTTTGGAATTCTTCAATAATGATAATATCCTACATGTGTCCTTATTGATAATATTGATGAATTAATTCAGTATCCAGTTGGAAAGCATGCATTTTTTTGGTAAGTTTGACAGTTTAACACGTTTGATCCCGCCAAAAGTTGCTGGCTTTCAGAGGCCACAGCCTGGCTCCAGGCTTGCCCAAGGAACCAAGCAGTCAGCCGTTCAATCCTTTTTGATTTTGCCATGGTATCCAGGTTTGACCGAAAACCCCCAGCCTGAACCAGGGTTCACAAACTCCATAGGTAAAATCTGAGGCCTGATGCTTCCTGCACAGCGAGATCGGCAGCATGCCCGGCATGCCCTACATGGAGGATCATCCCGTCCTGGGCGTCATCTTGGGCACCAAGCCCTCCACGGCCAAAGCTTGCTGTTGGTCGCGGGACTGGCAGCTGCTGGGATATCAAGGACCCAAAAAAAACATAGTGACAGGAAACCAATAAATATTGAGGTTTTGACCCAATAATAATGGATTTTGGTTGATTGGCATCCAAACCATGGTGTTTTCCCAGTAAATATGAGGCTTTCCTGCAGGATGGAAAGGACAGGCGGAGCCAGGATCGCAGGAACGTGCCCCCATAGGTCCCTTTCGAAAGAAAACACATGAACAAAGAAACATGCCACTTACGATTACTTAGGCAGGTTTACCCTAGTTCTACAGATTTTGTTATACATGCATATAGAAAAAAAAATATACTTAGATGAATTCATATAATGTAAAAATCACACGGTCACCCCACCACAAACATTACTTTTTCCAATTGCTGCGATCCACAGCTGGGCAATCACACTGTTTTCTCCACTTGACAAGCGTCATTCAAATATCCTTGGCTGATGCTGGTCCAACATGCCTTGTTTTTCACAGCTTTTGAGCATGTGGAAAAAAGACAAAAAAAGGGATGTACCCTACTAGTAAATCACAGGTTTATCATCACATTGCCAATAATATTTGCCAAAAAGTTAGACATCCCATTTTGGGACAAACCCAGCCAAAATGCTCTGCATCATGATAGTCCCTCTCCAAGTCTATGTCTTTGAAGAAACTGTCTTAAGTGACATTAACATGTTTCCCTCTCTCTGTCTCTCTTTCAATATTTACGTACATACATAAATGTATAAATATATATATATATGTATACAGTGTAATAATATACATATGTATGTATACGCATATATATATAATAATATAATATAATATAATATATAATATAAAATAATATAATATAATATAATATGATATAATATGATATAATATAATATAATATAATATAATATGATATAATATGATATAATATAATATAATATAATATGATATGATATAATATGATATAATATTATATAATATTATATAATATAATATAATATAATGTGATATGATATAATATAATATTATATAATATAATATAATATGATATGATATAATATAATATAATATAATATAATATTATATAATATAATATAATATAATATAGTATAGTATAGTATAATATAATATAATATAGTATAGTATAGTATAATATAATATAATATAATATAGTATAGTATAGTATAATATAACATATATATATATATAACATGTTCGATATTTCCTCAAAACTCCCCTCTATGAAAACTCCATTGGAGGCTCTGTGTACCGAGGCACCCAAGACCTTGCCCAAAGCATCAGCCGGACCCTGGGTGCTGATCTGGATCACCAAGGCGTTGTCACCAAAAAATATGGCAACTCTATGGGGAAAATATGTGGAAACTATGAGAAATATGTTTTTGGAGTATCAACAGATTGTTTTTTTGGGGAAATAAAAAACATTAAAAAACCAGGTAGAAACCTGTAAATCTGCCCCTTTTTAGTCTGGGAGAATATGATGACCGCTCATGATTCATGATTGGATCTGGGGCCAATTTTTCACAGACACATATAATGAATTATAATGATATATAATGATATACACCCTCGAAATATTAAATTTGGAATGGAACTACTGTATCTGAGTGACTGAAGAATTGGGGGTCTAATGCTGCTGTGGTTTCAAGGTACAGAGGATTCTAAACAGGGTGTCTAAAAAGACAAAGGCGCGTTGAATCGCCACAACATCTGAATGGAAATAATTACAATCGAATCGGTTTCCTCAGATTCTTCAGGGGTAGTCCCTCCGTGTTTGTGTGGAAATAGACCGGAAAATACCTATAGAAATAACAGAATTACAGGCAACCAAAAACTCGGAAACACATGCGAGGAAATAATTTGGGAAATAAACATGGCAATCAATGAGAACAAGTGGACCATCACGGAAAAGATACATGTGAAATAGACTGGGATCACATGAAAACACTTCAGAATCCATGAGACATATTTATGTGGAGGTTTCCTAAAATGGAGGTACCCCCTAAATCATCCCTTTCAATCCGGATCTCGCAGCCGAGAGTCTCCCTGCAACTTGTAGAGTTTCCACTCAATGCGACCCACAACATAGGGAAGGTACCTGCCAAATCATTCAACTGTGGAAATCAGCTGGTTATACGGCATACATGGATATACAGTATACCCCGTGTTGTTGAATATGCAGTATCATGTTTTATGATTTCTTGACACTATTTTCATCTATTTTCACATACTGTCTACAGTAGCCAATAAACATATGATTCCCACCTTGGAATTCCTTCAGTTCTGATTCCGAACCCGACCCCCTGGTGAAGAGACATGTAGAGATTTTGCAAGCCGTTCCCAGTTTAAGGTTACTGTATATATAATTGTATATATATATACAATAATAGTATATAACCCATAGGATCCATGGTGCTGGCATATATGCTAACATTGGGGGTATATTGATGGGATCCATGTTACCATATATAGCAGCACCATGGATCCTATGGATAATAGTATATAATATAATATAGTTATAAAGTAACATTGTATAATTGTATATATAACCAGCTTGTATAATTGTGATATATTGTGATATTGTATATTATATAATAGCTATATACTATTAGTAACAGCTAATAACCACAACATTCACAGTTTTTTTCAGGTCCTGAAGCACTGGGGATCAACTTCGCGGCACCACAAATAGGCTGGCGGTATGGCTCCCTCCGTCCTCCAGCTGAGCCATGGAATCCCCAATGAAAACAACCAGTTGGTTGGCTTGATAGATCAATATAATCAACCAGCAGTTGATGTGCTCAATATGTTATAGTATGTTATAGTATGTTATAGTATACTTTATAAATCTTTATAAAGCAGTTCATGCCAATCAGAAATTGTTTTTCAGTCAACCCCTGACATCGAAGCCTGTTGAACCCCCTGGTCCTGAAACGCAAGAGTGGCTGTGAGTGGCTGCCAAGTGTCGCCAAGTGCAACCTTGTCGCTTCGCAGTTGCCCATTGGGCACAATTACACGACAACCCATTGAGTATTATTGTTGTTAGATTTTTTACATTGATGGTAACGGCAATATTATTTTATATCATCTAACACCACATTCGCAATACCTATAAATCGTATAATCATCCAACAACCCATGAGTAATCTATTCCATGATCATAATTGTAGATCATCATATTCAATGCCTTACAGGGTGAGGCAAATGAGCCGCTGAGGCGTTCACCAATCCTCAGCAGCTGGTGCCTGGCGAAACCAGAAACTCCCAGTTGTTCTGAGTAGCATATTTATTTATGATGAGATGTCATGAAGGTATCCGTGGTTATGTGCAAATAGATAGATTCATTGGATGAGATCTGATATATATATATAACTGTATAGATCGGCATAGGTTCACTTGTTTGAGGTAAGGAAATCGATCCTCTGGGGTCAGCCTCATGCAAGACCTCCGCGGTGTATGTGAGCACCTCCCCATAGTCCTCCGCTGGCCCGAGGGAAAATCTTTGTCCATGGATTTCACCAAAGGACGAGCACCGATCGCACATGGCAGGTGAATCTCATGCCCGGAAAGTGCGAAGCCATCCAACACTTTTTCCGGAAAGTATGGCATGTATATGCATGTATAAAGCTACTGCAGGTTGGAGATGATTGGATACACTGGTACATGACGCTTTACCGACCATGGTGGTAAGTAGCTATTACATATTGTTACATAATTCAGGCTGCTTTGAGACACCCAGAAAGTCCATAAAAGTCCGATGATACACAAAGACTTCCCCCACGGTCCGTGCATTTCAGAAGGAACCACAACAAACTCTTCGCCAGGTGTTGCCCACGGCGCCTTGGACAAGTCCAGGACAAGTCCAGGTATGGAGCTATGGGAGCTATCCATGTGTTTTTGCTCATTACTTGTTTGGGGATCATCATCATCTTCAATATGGTTGGAAAATGTTGGAAAATCAAACAGAATTGAAACATGTTGAAAAGTATTGAAGCCAGCAACCAGAATGTCTTTGGACCTTGTTTAGATTGCTTCGCTTGGTCATGCTCCAAATATTTGGGCACCCTGGCAGTAGCAGCTTGACATCGCTCTTGACCTCAGATTGAGATGCACCCAGTAGCCACATTTACTGAGCCTTTGAGCCGGGAATCCAAACCTGTCAATCAAAACTTCCAGCTGATAACTTCGTGCATAATTGAACTGAACATCTTTCTAAGCCATGCTAAATACCTGGAAAAACCAAACGGCAAAAAAAAAAACGCATCGGAGGGTCTGCGGCGCCTCCAGTTGATCTGAGGCATTGTTTGCTTTCTGAGGCATTTTTTGTTTTCTGAGGCGTTTTTGTTGTAATCCTTGTTTTTCAGTGTTTTTTCCTTTTTATCTGCTCTAGATTGTTCTGGGATGGGTAAATGACAGCGGACATTTCTTTGATTTCAATACCTGCGAACGCAAAGCCTTGGCTAAATCCAATTCCAAATCTCAATAGTGTAAATCACTTAAAACTGGGGGCGTAGCTGCTGCGTGGCTAAAATCTGTCAGCGAGACTGTCATTGCCCACAAAATGCTGTCTCACTGGAATTGTTTGTTGCTTTTTGGCATTTGCAGCATGTTTCCAAAAGGCAACGGAAGTGAATACGACAAAAATTGTTGTCATGAGAAAAAACAAAGGTAAACCAGGGAAAACATGGAAAAACTGAAAATTCAGAGGACAGAAAACGGCGGAAAAGGGCGGGAAAACGGCGGAAAAGGGCGGACTCTGAACATTGAGGTCCAAATCTTGCCGGAAACATGCCCAAACGGTTGTATCACGGATTTTGAGTCTTCTAGTTTTCTTCTTGCCGTGAAATTTTGTTGAAAGCTGCAATCCAAGTGATTCAATGTCGATGAAAGCCAACGCTTCCAATGTGCAACTATGAACACATATATACTGTATATACTGTATATACTCTAGGGCTTGTTTTCTGCATTGTTTTTCTTGCAGCGTTCATTACATAGGGAAATCATAAGAATTCCTTAGCAGTACGTGCGGCTGTTTGTCAGGGGTTTGGTCTCTAGTTGTGGGCTTTGCAACTGAAAAGTCGCCATGGCGGGAGTCCTAGGGCTTTGGTAAACTCTTGTGTTTGAGGCGTTTTTTGCTTTCCAGAGGCGTTTTTAACCCATCAGAGGCAAAACAAAACTCATGCGGCGTTATTTTTCGTCTCGGGGGCCTGAGGCATTTTTTTCTGCCTCTGGTGTTTCTAGGTATATCTAAATCAGGATTTCATCTACAGTACTCCCATAAGACCTGACAGGCACGGCCTGTAGGCGCTCACTTGGTCACCGGGCATATCTTCGTCGCATCATCATGAGAATTAGGAGATCCAATCGCCTGCAAAGGACTTTGCGATGCAAACAATTGTGAGCTGTGACATCTTTCACTGAGAGTGAGTACGATTCTATAGTCACAATATAGTCACAATATAGTCAGAATATATAGTCACAGTAGTCACAGTATAGTCACAATATTTGATAGCCATCAAGGCCCCAAGATGCCCCAAGGGTTCGGTCGGCCTTTCGAACCACTGGCGAGCTAGCTTCGCCAAGTCTTCTGTCGGCGCCTGCCAAGATGACCACGACTGAGGATATCCACCAGCAAGTGATCCAACTATCTCTGGTTGGTGGTGCAATAACCATCTTGAAAAATATGAGTTCGTCAATGGGAAGGATGACATCCCACAAAACATCTTTGAAACCACCAACCAGATCTGAATTTCATTGTAAAATGTGAGAAAAAACGGGGGCGAGCGCTGGTGGTTTATCAATATGTCTTTTCTTTAGAGAGTAAGGTTGGTGTTCTTGTAGGGATCCAACATGAAACTCGGCAACCAATCACTTCCAAGTAGCTGATATCAGCTTTCCCTGGATGGGATTGGTTCAATCCGTCCTTTGCTGGGTCAGGCCGGTTCATGAGGTAAACCCAATGCCATAAAGCATGCCCAAGTGGTAAACAACCCATCTACGACTCTGATAACTCGTGATAATTCATTCCAGACAGACATTTCAATAAATCGTAGAAAAAACAATTTAGTTACTACATGTGTTATTACATAAAACCACATATATAATGAAAGTGGTAACATAAATCATCCCCAAATCACCATTTTTCTGGTACCTTCCCCAACTCCCCAGGACCCAGCCATAAACGCCTTGATGGACTGACGCAAAGCTGCCCTGAGATGCCGCGATGCCAGGCCCAGACTATCCCAGACTCTTGGTGAAGAGAATGGGTGAACACATGAAAAAAAAAAACATTATAGAAACTCAATGGATCTAGGGGAATAATCATAGAAAATCTTGGGAATATCATGGGTAAATGAAAAAAAGGGTCTTAAGATGTCTTTAATCATCCCATGGATACAACTCACTTCAATGTTTAATTTTGACAGTTACTATTAGCACCATCAATCATGGGTGTGTAAATGGCTCATCAGGTTTTGAGGCCAACCATGCGGATGATTTGGAGCTGCCGAATCAAATCAAATAAACACAGAAATATAGTCTTCTCCAGGTATCAGCTGGGATGTTAGTGATCAAATTCATCCAGGTTTACTAATGGAAAACAACATATTTCAAACATATTCTGGTTGGTGGTTTCAACCCCTTTGAAACATATTAGTCAGATTGGATCATCATCCCAACTATTGGGGAAAATAAAAGCCATGTTCCAAACCAGCAACCGGAATCCACAATACTCACAATTATATTTTAAGTTCGGTAAACCATCTATTTCTATGGGCCATCTATACCATGGCTATGTTAGTCATAACCAGAGGGTATTTCAAACATATTCTGGTTGGTGGTTTAACAATCTTGAAATATATTAGTCAATGGGAAGGATTATCCCATATATTGTGGGAAAAAAAAAACGTTAAATCCCATTAATATCCCATTTATAGATGGTTTACCAACCAGATATTTTAAAGCCAACCTCCCAAACAAATCCACTTGCAGTCCATGTTTTTAGCAGTCGCCAATGGCGCCGAGGTACTGTCGCATGAGGTTCAACACCTTCGCCTGACCTGAGGAGTTGTGGTATCTGCAGAGTCTCGCCCTGAGAAACATGGCGAATCTATAACAACTACCCTCTGGTAATTTAACATAGCTGTGGAAAATCACCATTTTTAATGGGAAAATCCACTATATAAATGGCCATTTTCAATAGCTATGTTAGTTTACCAGAGGGTACACACAAAAGTAGACGTTCAACAGGCTATCTACTTGATTTACCCAATTTATCGCCATGCTGAAATTTGCTCATGAAGCCATCAAACATGTTTTCCGAGAAGAGCATCGATATCTTCGCAGAAAACAAAACAACGATGATGAAAAGGAAGCCATTCCGTTGAGTTGAGCCAAATTTTTATTGGAGATTCTCAAACCAAAATTCTCAAACCAAAATGATAAGCTAGCATATAGATAAACCATGATAAACCTGTGGGAAGTACATGTCCGGAACCCGTTCTTGTCCTATTGTGCTTGGGGTAAGCTTCCGGGTCATAGCTTATGTCTTGGAGTGCCGAGTGCATTCCTTCTGTGGAGTGATGACATCCCGAATGTTCCCTGCCACTGACGTTCCTTACCAATCCCCATATCACGAATTCAACCGCATCAAAATTTCTGCCCCAACAAGCCATGACAAGCCGATTGAAGATGTCGAGGATGGCAAGTCCAAAATCAGCACATCCACCCACCAAAATGGTTATCTGATATCCCAGAATTCACTCATGTTGTCCTCATGTCAATCATGTTCCCGACATGTAATTTCCATTAATTTCAGGTATTTGGGGTGTACTGTGACCCGATTTCTGGACAAACCCTATACCCCATAGGATCCATGTATGGTATATATGCTAACATTGGGGGTATATTGATGGTAAATGTTACCATATATAGCATACATGGATCCTATGGGTACTGGTCCTATTTCATGGCTTATGGCCTGACAAACAGCAACCCGATAGCGCTCGAAAATTCCCAGCTGCTGTAGAGACAGCGCAAGCGTGGCGTGCAGCTGGCAACCTGCGAGGCATCATGACGATTGGGATGGTATATGCAGTATATGCATCGGCAGGGATTTCAATAGATTTTTCAGATTTTTCAGAATTTTATAGATGTTTTCAGAATTATCAGATTTATGATCCGTATGATGGATGTAGAATGACATAGAGTGATTTAGATCGGTATGGGTCAAGATTCAATCCCACAAAATGGATAGTTTGTCATAGTTAACATGACAAATTGTGTTTTTGTCCATTGGTACCCCATGCTCGACCCATGCCCATATTTGATGTAATGCAAATCATCTTGATACTGCACTATGGTGGATTGTTTTTCTTGGTGGCTTCAACCCATGAAGATAATGGCAGTAACTTCAGATCTTTATCCTAAATAGGTTGCAAAACCACCAGCCAGTTAAAGTTGCTGCGGTTGCTGCAGCAGTCCTCAAATCTTTGGAAGGTTGATTTCATCGAGCAGTCCATGTCATCCTGCAACCCAAGGATTGCTTCGTCACTCACATATTCCGCGACCATAGGGACATGAAAGCCAAAACCTTGAGACAATTCTTCAATATGCATCAAATCTTGGTAAGGAATTCATCGGAGAGATTAGGATTCGCGTTTTGACCATTTTCAGCATGTCAATTTCAACATGTTCAATGTTTTTCTTGCGGACAATTGCTTCCCGTGAACACATGTGAACACACCATCCTCATCATCCTCAGTCCTGCAAAAAGTAAACTTGGGCGAAGACGTCCGTCAAACCTCACCCAGGTTTCACTGCAACTGCGCATGGGACGGTCTGGGAAGCTTCCTCCAGGTGCAGAGAATCCCCACGGTTCCATAACTCCACGTTGTCAGGGCTGATGGAGAGGCCTTTGATAATGCATGGGATCACCTGGCAATGTGCCAAGAGTTTGCATAGCAAATGTGGCTCCAAATGTGACACACAGCAAAAACCATTTAAGTCCAATGACTCGATCCTGGAGAACTGGCAATGTAAAAGTCGGAGAACTGGCAGTGTCCCTTGTCCACTTCATTCCTCTTAATAACTTAAAATAAATTGGAGACAGCCAACACCTGCAGCATGTCTTTCATGCTGCTCTGCAACTGCGAAGACTGCCTGCGCAGGGCACAACAACACGCAGCTGGCGAGACTGCCCATCATCTCATCTGTTTAGTGATGCAGGATATATTTCCAGCTGCTTCTAGCCAGGATTCAGTGATACCTATCTACTGAAGTACATACACATGGCATATCATACTATCTTACAAACGGGCCACAATCATAGCTTGCTATGACGACATATGCCAGCTACCTCTAGCTGCACTGTAGCTAAAGACCTCACATCTGATCCCGTTGTAGATGGTAGCGGCGGGGCCTGTCATTGCATACCTGCACCCGGCATCTCGCCTTGTAGCCAACTCAAGATATGGATTCGCAAAGGGCAAACTCGTGAACGGCCTCAGAGACCCGCGAAGTGGAGGACTCTCCGCATTGACCATGCAATGCAGTCTTGGAAACACATGGAATGGCCCTGGAATCCATGAAACAAAGTAATTCAGCATTCACTTGGAATTCTATTCTCTTTTTTCTATTGACTGTTGAATCTTTAAATGACCACAAGACTTCTTGGCTCAACATGTCGCTACCAGTTTGGCCTGCGTTTTGGAAGATTGGCCTAGCACAGCGTGCCTGTTCACATGTATCTATGATAACATAAATCACATGTAACATCATATAACCAAATGTATATATTATTTACATATATTTACTATAGACATCTATAGATTATAGGTCTATAATATTCTATAATTATAAATTAATCATATTCACTACATTCCTACTTAATCGTTAGCGAAACAACTTGTTGGCAACCAAGACAGGTTTCCCAAGTGCCCCCACCGAACGGACAAGGCGGTCCTTTGAAGCTCGTCTGCGAGGGACCTGAGATGAGAAATGGATTTTGGATCATGTCAGACTCGATTGAGGTGAATGCTGTCCATGCAGATTAGAGCGGATTGTTGCAAACCCGGCACCACCAAAATGCATGACTTCTGAAACATATCTTTCTTAGCAAAACGGCGAATCGATTTCGTGACAGGGTAATCTCAATGGCACACTGTCCATTTCTCGAGGTCTCCCTTAGTTGTTTGTAGTTATTTCGATTGGTTTCCTTGCAAATCCAAGGACCTCCAACTGAATCATGGTTTAAACATGTTCGCTGCAACCCTGACCGTTGCGCCGCGTCTGACTTCAGGTGGCTATGAAGATAAAGTTGATGTTATTGCCCCACTCAACATATTGTTCATAGGGGGTGGTGAATTTTGACCCCTTATGAAGATAAAGTTGATGTTTTTACCCCAGTCAACATATTGTTCAGAGGGGGTGGCATTTTTTTAATGTGATGATGATGATGATGATGATGATGATGACGATTGTAACATGTGGAGCAGCGTCCGGGTTGGAGGTTTACGGTTGGATTCTGTTGGATTTGCCCCACGACTCTCGGGTCATGGCAGCTCATCCAGCTCCAACTTCAGGAGCCGATCGGACCTTTCGGTGAGCCGACTTGGGCGATGGTTGAGCCATACAATTAATGTGGGGCAAGTTGAGCCATGTTTGAGTTTATGGTTATTGACTGGTTGAGCAGTTGATTGAGCAGTTCTTTCAAATTATCAAATCATCATAACAGCTTTGACAGCAGAACAAGGAACAACTGCTCAAACACAAGCAACTCTAGCAGCAGCTCAAATCCAACCAGATCTTCTTGATCCTGCTTGATGCTACTCGAAGGTCACGCAAAAAAAAAACTGGGCCACTCCAGTCACTAAGCTTCGAGCTGTGATCCTTCGTCTTCTGTGCGAGATGGTGCCTTGCCCTTAGTGGCAGTACGTGGGACCACACCAATGGGCAGACTTGAAACCAACATTGGCTAATTGACAGCAGTCGTATCCTCCTCCCGAGGAGTTTTCAATGCTGGATATTTTGTCAGTCTTTCCAACAATATGAAAAAACACTGAAACAATCGGAACATAGCTGAACAGCTTTGAGCACTGACTGTTATAGTAAAGACTTGGAAAGCATCAAGCACGCAAGAACATGCAGAGTTAATTGGTTCCTGCTATCGTCCACCAAAGGCTGCAGGGCACTGCTTTTTTGTCAATGGAGCTTTCTTTTGAGCTGAGTGACTGCTTGGTGTGAACAGTGGGGGCCCTGCTTGGAATTAGTGGCTGCTGGGTTGAAGATTTGAGGACTCATCGATGGCTTCAGCAACTGATTTAACGACAAGGCAGGCGGCCAGTTGTGCCAAGCACGCGCAGTTGGAGCCAGCGAATCGAACAGATCCACCATGCTCAAAGGGATGAGTTTTTCATCACTCTGGAGGATATCCTGATAAACAATTGAGGAATATTGAGGACTGGGATAACTTTCATGGATTGTCAATGATTGTCATGGATATTTTGGGCAATCCGCTCCTCTCCGGTACTTTGCAGCAAATCAGGGAGGTTATTTTAGCGATGAACGACCCATCATCCCCCGTCAGCATCCCTGGGCGACTCATGGCTAAAGCGAACCATCCTGCACCAGCGACACCAAAATGTGGATGGTTGGTGGTGGGTTTCCAGCCACAATCGGAAGTGCCAAAATCACCTTGGGTGGACATTATTCTATGATAACATGATGAAGCATTGTGAAATCATCAACCGAGTTGTTGTGAGTCAAAAGGAATCGGCCGACAACCCTGGAATGGTTAGATCTGTTCTTTCACACAGCTTCTTCAGCTGGGACTTGAACTGTTGTGGTTCCTTTTTGCAATGTGATAAGTCAACCACAATGAAACTATGGAAATCAACAAATGATAGTAAGTCTCTCAGCAAATTGACAAGTTGCTTGCCTGACGCAAAGAATGCTTCTAATTGGATCTAATTCGGTGATCTTTCAGTTTTCCCCTTTTGCGGCTGTGTGCGCTGCATGATGAGCAAAGCCTTTCTCTTTCAAGAAATTGAATCATTCACATGTGTAGTATGTGTAAGACTCCTCATACAAGTTGCTCGTGAAATCACTTTGGAGAATACAAAGTTACCAAGGTTTCTCTTCCAGCACATCACGTTGTTACCCTTCGATAATCAAACACTGGGAAATCCCCTAGAAATGGGCATTAAAACGGGAAAATTGCCCTGCCCGGTACACCCACCCGACCTCATGCGCCACGCATTGAATGGTCTCCTTTCCTGTGGAGACGCTGAAACTAGGGGGTTTAGAGCTGATAAATCCCCAAGTGGGTTGCAGGTAAATACCGATGGACTCACACTTGGTGATGTTTAGGAGCTTAGGATCTGAAACCGTCCATTTGTCTTTTTCTGTTTTTGCCTTGTTTAATCTTTTTTTTGGAGAGCAAACATGTTTGAAGCATTTCCACATCAAATGGGTTTGGTACGAAAACAACTACCCAAGTTGCAGGCCTCTCGGCAAGTTTGGCATCAGCCGATGGTGACCGCACAACAATGTGGTCTGGATCAACACCTTGCCCGAGGCAAACAAAAACTGCACTCCACCGGCGGAGTCTGTTGTCATTCAGGACATATCATAGACGATCCACTTATCATAGGCTATCATAGATTATCATAGATTATGATAGATTATCATAGTTTATCATGGATTATCAACAAATTCAACTGGTATCATAGTTTACCATAGATTTTCATAGATTTTCGCAGATGATCATAGATTATCACCGGGGATTCTCATAGAATCTGCGGTGGCTTCTACACCTGAGGTGGGTCTCGATCCCGAATGTGCCATGGTCAAGTCAGATGGACAATTGGTTGCGGTCCCATCATGAAATTGGGAATCCTTACCTTGACGTCTAGAGAATTCAGAATTCCCTATGAAGTATATACATGTATAATCATGTATATACATGGTATCACCATCCCCCAATATAAATCAATAATCATCAATATGAGATGATCCAATTTTTGATCATAGCTATCCTTGCTTTTACATCCCATATCCCCATTCATACCTTAAAATATTACCATATAAAATCATATTGAGCCTCGATATCTAATGATGGGGTAATATATGGTATGACCAACCATAGGTATAACATTAATTTACAAGGTATGATCATATTAACCCATATATTGATAAATCATAATATCTATGGGTTAATTGCTCTAATCAAACTTTTGACCGTGTCGAAACGCTCCAAGGCACATGATACTCGCAGAGGGAGCTTTCAGTCAGGCCCACGATTCGCGTCTCAGGCCTGTCGAATCATTATTTCCAGTGTCATTCATGGTTTAAAAATAACATTGGAGATGAACACATTTCATCATATTGGATTTGTTGATTGACAATGAAATTGACAATGAAATGAAGTGACATTTTTTGTTGGTCAATGGGTGAATACAATTAAAGGAACATTGAAATGATAACGACATTGAAATATTGGAATTAAGATTTCTCATCATCTTGGACGTGTTGATTGAGCATGGAGTTTTCACTGGTTAATTGTTGGTGAATGGTTGAATCTTAAAGCAACTTGTCTAGGGATTCTAGATTTGATGACAGTGGAAATCTGCAGATATTGCTCATTGACTAGTATTATTCCAGATCTTGTAGATGCCCTTGACATGCTGGACCCTCTGCAAAGGGAATCCATGGGAATCGCTCTGCTCAGCCCGGCACTTCGGAAGGAATTCCCGAGCCACCAAAAAAAATGGCCAGCCAGAGCAAGAGCCCGGCACCAACTATAAACAGTGGAAAGAACAATATATATATATATGTAATATATATATATATAACTGATCAGCAACTGTGTGATCAACGATGGGGATTGCGAGAAGGAATATATTTGCCAACTGCACAGAGACTTACCCAATTCTAGTCTGGCGATGTCTGGTGAGGGCAGCAAATGAGGTTTCTTAAAAAATTAAGATAAATGAAGGATCCCCAAGTCACCATGGGTTTCAATATTAAGTCATGGTCATCCATGGCTGGATGATTTGGGGTACCCCCATGACTTGCCTCTTTTGCCACTCGCCCGGGCAACGGAAGTTCAAGGTGACCTTCCGATGCCGATTCGTCTCGTCGCAAACCTGCAGTCACTGGAGCGGCCGCTCGGAGCTACATGGAATGATTTGAAATGATGAGTTTAACCAAAAAATGAAACCAGTTTCAAGCTGATTTCTGGATGATTCCTGTACTCAAATTCATAAAACACCTTTTACGTCCATTTACATCCATTTACTGTATGTTGAGCTTGTTCAAAGTCCTTAATTACAATCTCCCCAATTGTATTGTGAAACCCTGCCAATCCTCCCAATGTCTTCCAAAATGCAAATAGACTACAATCCACATGGTTGGGGTCAAAACCTGCGTGCCCCTTCTGCAGGGTATCATTTGCCGACCTGTCGTCACCTAGATACTGGGGTGATCATGGATGAAATAAGCATACTATAGCATACTCCTGTTGATACAGGCCCCCACAAAAAAAGAATGCCGCCTACCAGGACATTTTTTTTGAATTGATGTTTAATTCCTCCTATTGAGAACCAATACTTGCGACGAGAACAAATAAAGAGATCCACGCAAGCTTGTTAGGGGGCCCTCAAAATTAGGTTCCTGGAATGTTTCAAGAGCGCAAGACATGATTCTAATTAAGTAACAAACAGAACCAGTCTGCCTCAGAAGCAGGCCGGAACAGGGCCGGACAATGGATCCTGATACTTTTAACACATATGAGGTCCATTGAGGTCCCATATATATATATATTTATATGTGTATATGTATATAATTATATATATATATATTTGTATGTATATATATATATACATGTGTATATATATATGTGTATATGTATATGTATGAGCAATACCCATCTGTTGTTGAATGTTGTTGACAACTTCGCCGGGGTGGACTTCTCCAACCAACCGGGCTCCGCTTTTTGTCCCAGTTGCATCGCCACCGCCCAGTTTCTGCTCCAACGTCAAATGTCGTGACCTGGGCCGCGGACGTGAACCCACGGCCTTGGAGCTGGGCAGGGGTGCAAAACCTGTTTTTTTTTTCCATGGTTTTTGCAGCAAATTAGTTGGTCACTGGTCAGTAAATAGATTGATTAGATATGGATTGATTGAGTATATATGAATATTATTGAATATTCATCCACCTGAAATGACGGCCCCATTAGGGGACCATAGCACAAACATAGAATGATTGCTAGTGATCTCGAACAAATGGCACCAAATTTCGATCTTTCAACCTTCCTGAGTGGACTATACCAGTAGATCCAGTAGATCCATTTTTCGTAGTCTTTTCAAGTAGATCTACTGGATCCAGTAGTTTCATAGTAAATCCAGTGGACATCAGTGGACTATACCAGTAGATCCAGTAGAAACACCAATTTTTATTGGTGGTCACCCATGGTCACCCACCTTTTCAAACCACCGAGAGGCGGAGGCGCGCGGCGCTCACGTGGCCCGGTGCCGGGATTCATGCGGTACATGCCTTGGATGAAATACACGGTCAGGATGGAGGGTATCCAATCTGCAACAAAGCCCATAGGTCCATAGTTTTGATATGTTTTGATGGTAAAAAAAAGCACGCAAAAACCATAGTAAAAACATGTAAAAACCAAAGGTTAATGGAAAAAAAACGGATCGAATCCCTTGAACCAATGTCAATGGGTTGATTTTGGTGAGACAATCTATAGAATCTATAGGAAGTTGGCCGGTTTTAACATGTTTTTGTTTTTAGTAGGTTGACATATTACTGGGAAACCCTGCAAATTGTTCAAACATGTTCAAACAAATTCAAACATCCAAATCTGGGACCATGGCAATCGTGCCAGTTTGTTCCTTTGCCAAACAGCTGAGAGTGCACCCAAAAAATGGAAACATATTTCTCTCTGCAAAGTTTTACAAAGACATAACTATTTCAGAAACATGCCATACCCGACACAGCTACAAACATGCAGAAATTCCAAACAGCCAAGGATTTGCCCACAGGACGGTGACAGTGTGTTGCACTCTGCATTAGTCAGATACCAACATCCGTGATATTTGCATGTATTTGCCATATGTTCCGTTCATTGATCATTGACTTTTGCAACGTGTGTCCTGCCTCAGGGGGTCGTGGATTTTGTCCCATCCGGTTGCCATACCTCCTCTGGACTTTCGAGCGACTCATGTTGACTTTGTTGGGCTCAAGGCTTTCACCTGTGCCCTGACAGCATGGACAAATGCTCAGGTTCCAAATGGATACCCATCTTGCTGGATGATCCTTGTGCAGAATCCATGATACGTTTCTGAACATTCAATAATTAACAATGATGATGGTGATGATGATTACTATATGATGATTACCACATGATGATTGCTATATGATGATTACTATATGATGATTACTATATGATGATTACTATATGATGATTACTATATGATGATTGCTATGTAATGATTACCATGTTATGATACCATCTGTCTACACGTCAAATATCCAAAAAACAAGCCGACCGGTGGGACATCCACCGACGCAGTCTGCCTCTAATGTTCCAAGAGTGTACTGCGGAGAGCGCTTGTCGTTCTCCAGGTGGAACTGCACCATTTTGGTGGGGTAGCAATACCTCAGGGCGGGGTTGTCCAGGAGTCCAAAACTGTGGTATCAGAGGTATATACATATACTATTATATTATATACATATACTATTATATTATATATCATTATATATCGTATATCTATATTAATATATATATACTATTATATGGCATATATATATATGATTATATATGATATATATTGATATATTATGATATAATGAAAAGAGCATATGAAAAGGGTCCAGGTCTGCGCAAAGAATAGCCCTGCAGAACTGCTGTTCACTTTGATCGCTAAGCAACAAGATCTACCCTCTGGTAAACGTTTACATAACTATGGAAAACCACAATTTTTGATGGGTAAATCAACTATTTCAATGGCCATTTTCAATAGCTATGTAACAAACTACCAGAGGGTATCATGTCAGTGTCCCAGTCCCAGATCCTGCGAAAATTTAGGGCTTTGTCCATGCTTTGTCTGAAAAACTGGCACCCCAAAATCCCAGACTTTTTCTCATCAATTTCTCCAAGTGTTGGATAGGGCCATTTTGGATGATTTTGGGATAATTTAACATAGCTGGCCGTGGACATTTCGTTTCTATAAAGCTAAATCATGGTTTGCCTCAATGTAAGTCATTTATCAATGGTCAATGGCCCATTTTCCAAACGCAAACTCTTATTTTTTTAAACTACTAAAGGATAGTCACGGTCACAATCCTGTCCCCCCTTGCTAGAAAGTTGCTCGTAGGTCCACCATCCCTGAGTGATGTTCAAACATCTGCTCCTCATGGGTTCCAACCTTGGTCACAAGGGCTTCCACCCAGCCTGGGAACTGGAACACAACCGTGGTTTGCCCTGAAATCATGCTGCAGAGTGACTTCTTAAGCCAGGCCAGTTCCAACCACCCCTGCAAAATGATATTCATTACTCAAATAGGTTAGACATCAACAACCTTCAAAACCACCAGTTTCGCTGGATTTTTCCCCCAATTTTCAAAACCACGGTGCTTCCCCACAGTCAGTGCCCCTCCAGGGTGTCTCTAAGGTCCCAACAGCGATGTGATCAGCAACTTCTGTCCCTCAGGGGTGGTTGCCTCTGGCAACACGGGTGGCTAAAAAGCATTGTCTCTCGGTAGCCGAGGTTCACAACTGCTCGGTGGTTTTGACCAGTCCCCAACAGTATTAGTCAATCGGTGGTAATCATCCCATTTGTTGGATGCAACTGAAATAGCTGAACAGTGATCTTGAAAACATCATAAAACATCTACCACTTGAATCAACCACATATCCAACAAAGTAGATATCACATGAATATCTACATTAACACCTTCACACATTCACACTTGTGAATCTGACATAGGCTCCTGGGTCAATGCCATCTGGGCCCAAAAACAGTTGAAGAGACAATGGATGCTGATGAACTCCAACGTGAGCAATGCGAGATGTTGATTGAGCATATTGAGCTGGATATATATGGTTTGAATAATTTTGAATATGGGTTCAAAAACCGTACCCCAAAAAAGGCGAACCTTTGGGATGCACAGCTTTCTTTCGAGTCCAGAAGCTTGCTACAAGTTTTTCAAAAAAGTTGAGGGATACCCCATGGGATATCCCAAATATTGGGGGAATCCAGATGGCAACATCAATCCACAGGGGTTGCCTCGGCACCCTCCTTCTCTTTCCAGGTACAGAAAGACGGTCCTCATCCCATGGCGCTGTGTCAACTGGGGGCAACTGAGAGGTGTTTTAGGCCATCAACCCATCAATTTCTATCACACTGTGACACACATATTATAAACCATTGTATACATTATACTCTACAGAAACACATCAAGCACAATGACATTGTAGTTGTGTGAACAACGAGAAACAACCCATTGCAACTGCATGCTCTTTACATGCGTCTCATCCACACCCACAAAAACAATGATCCCCTTGACCATCAAAGCTAGCAATGTTTCAAATCCCTCAAATGTGCGAACTATGTTCAATCCATCCTTCAAAGTAGTGGTTGTTTTATAATTTAATATATTCGATGTGTTCTTTCCATGCTTGGCTATTCAATTTCTGGTATAATCATTGGTTTATTGACCAAGTGTTCATCCAACAAGTGCTAACCACCAATCTTCCTATAATAATCACCAAACATTGTTCATCAAGAATTATGCATCACCAATATTTTCATGTTAACTACCAATTGGTTCTCAACCTAATCTTCTAAAATTGCTATGCTCGCTGCCGTCTCCCTCTCCAAAACCCCCCGGCAACCGATCCCCGGATCCGCACCCTGCACAGTGATGGTGTAGAAGTGGACTGGGTCCTCAACGACCTGCGGATGATCAGACCATGTCGATAGCTCCATGAGATTCACATGGGATATATATTGAGATGGGATATCAATGGCATAATTTCGGCATCATCATTATAGTGACTGAATTTTCCACAAATAAAAAATGGGGATTTATGAATTTTCATATGATATGATTATTATGATTGGGACTTGGGACATATTCCAATATATTCTTACATGCTACTATATGGGGTATATCATGGGCATTTTTTGGAATTCGATGATTTCGATGGCAGCACAGGTCAAACTTCAAGACCCGATTGAAAGGGGACCCCAACTTTCATGAAAATACCCAGGATCATCATATCCCATAGGATCCATGTATGCTATATATGGTGACATTTACCATCAATATACCCCAAATGTTAGCATATATACCATACATGGATCCTATGGGTATCTGACCACATCTGAGAATAGTCAACATAGATGTCCTGAAGATCTCAAAATCTTGATTTAAAAACCCAACTTGATGGACAACTGGAGGAACAAGCTAAGCCGCATCGCCATGTTGGGATCCTCTGTACCATGTTATGCATGTCAAACGCGTGTATACCCTGCAGGCAAACGATCAACTCGTATCATACTGAATGATACTGAATGAATTTACATGCATTTATAAGCATTTATATACATCGTTTGGCATTCTTAATTCCACTATTAGTCACTAAAATAACATATCTGGCATTGGATATAATCTTCGCATTTCTTGGGATCAAACAAAACAAAATAACAACATGTCTGAACCCCGCAACCATACGTATGGTAAACTTGTAAACTGGTAAACTGGTATGTATAATCCCCATTTCTCCTGGTAAAATCACCCCTGGTTTGTCAGCTGTAACCTGCCTCAAAGGAGGGCAGGACGGGGCCACAGACATATCTCACCTGCCACTGCGCAGCCATGGAGGATGGCCCAAAATGGGGAAATTGGGAAATTGGATGGAACATCATGTTTAAGTGGGATTAGCATCATTGTCCCGACAATTTTGTCCCCATTCTTTCACACTTCAATTTGGACGAAACGACAAACTCATTTCAAACATTGCAAGTTTCCACGTCAGCCCAGCCTCCGTACTCCGATTCTCTGCACCAAACAGGTAGAGCTCGCCTTGCCGGCGCTGGGGAGAAGTAACCCATGGTCCCAGGGTAGGTTGTCCCGGCTTGTCCCGGGGTTCTCGTATCAACCAGGAATGTTTACCCACAAGGAACATCCTAGGCTGGTTGCTTTGCACTGCAAGCTTGATCCTGCCCTGGACCTGTCTGGTAAGCCATGTCAGCTGCGTACAGTACCACACATGACACGTAAGCGAACAAGGCAAAGGAACACCTTTGGAATCATTTGGGAATAAGCTTGACAGAGACAACCTCGAATAGTGGCTTATGTATTACGATATCGATGTATATGAGTAACTATATATGATATATATGATATATATATATATATATATATTATGTCCCAAATTTGGGCCCTCAAAATCTGCCATGTCACGGTCCTTTTATTTTTCGGCCATGGCTTTCCAGTATTTTCCAGTCCCATGACCTCGCCAAGTGACGCACTTCTCCAGTGGGCAACAAGCGATCTGAGTCCTGGTGCTCTCCGAGGGAAAAGCGTAGGCCCGCCTCGTTGCTTCGTGTTGATCCCAACAGAAAACGGCTGGGAAAGGTGGTTTTAATATCTCATTGTATTAAAACAAAACATGATCATCATTGAAAATCCATGAAAGATCATTAAAGATCATCCCATCATCCCATCTCCCATGTTAAAATTCATTAAAGATCATCCCATCTGATCGGGATCGAAAGCAACTTGCAGCCAGGGCACATCATCCCGGTACTGTACCTGTTGGAGTGTCAGCCCAGGCTGGAGCAAGCACAAGAACCAACTATCATCACCACAACAAACCACGATCACAACGAAGAAGGAACAAAAACAACGAACAAAAACAAGAAACAACACAACAATCCCAATCTGTATATCTGTGGTGTATCTCTATGACTCTATGGGGTATCTATTAAATATGTCTCTCCACTTTTGGTGGTTAAGGATCCAAGTCTTCACAACAGCATGGCCATCATGGCTTTGCGGCCCAGACACAACACGGCTGCCAGAGCACAGGTCATAGTGCCAGAAATCAATGGTGCTACTGATGCAGCTCCCGCGAAACGGTGCCAGTTTTGCCTCAGGCGAAAACAACAAAATCTGGACGTATCTTGACATATACTATATATGCGAATATATCATATTATGTTCTACCATATATATAATGTATAAATATGGTATATATTCTACCATGTACAATTTCATATTGAGAACATCAACTATTGTGGTAGAATAAACATGAATAAACATGAATAATCCATCAAATGGGGATGGTTTTACACACCCATGTCAGTTCTTGGCTTCACCCCATTACCTGCCATCATGGTCATCCGATGTCATCCGTCAGCACAAATTTCCCATCAGCGGTGGAACCCTGCAACCAAGATGCTGCTAAGAAGTGCTTCTTGGCATCTGGCGCATCTCGCGGTTCCGTGGAGTTTTTTCCACCTGACCGTCACATCAGTTGGCTTGTAATGCAAAAGCCCAGGCACTTGTCAAGACCAGTGAAGATAAGTTTTGGAAACATGAAGGTTAGGACCAAAAACAACAGCCTGATTCATTTAATATTAATCATTATATAAATTCATATAAATATTCAGAGACACTAGTTTTAATGTGCATTTTGGTTTCAATGTGGTCAAACTTTAAACTTATGGAAACCCGGCACCTGGTAGTCGACAACTGAACTTCCGCTGTCCTTTGGCGAGGTTCAACGTCTTGACATCCTCTTCCGCAGCAGGGTATCGAGGTTTGGGAGTCCATGATCTATGCAATGGCTACACCCCGAAATGGATCATGGTCATTTTACTGAGAACATGATGTTGAATATGTTGAATCATGGGCTTTTGGGATGTCCTTATTTTTTGAAAATCTATTGTTTTAAGTTATATTTTTGGAGAGACCTAACGTGGGTCCAAGTAGATTCCTAGTGACTTTTCATTCGTCATGGATGAGGTCATCCCCTGCCAATCCGATCCAATCCGTCAGGGCTGAAAAACAACTCGCACTTTGGGGTCATCAAAAGCCCTCAGGGTTTATGGAAACGCTATGAGAACATTAACCAAAGTGACGTGGGTATGGATCAATACCTATAAATACCATTTTTAGGGGGATGAACATCCATAAATCCCAGCTATTTTGATGTGAACTACAGGGGTACAAGGTTTTGACACACTGCCATGTAGTGAAACCAGGCTTAGAAGCATCAATCCACAATCTAGAATCTAAACCACTTCCCCTTGGTGCAGTAAGCAGCAAGAACTTTCACAGCTTTGTTCGACCCTGTCAAAAACCTACACACTTTGAGCAATCATTGTAGATCTCAAAGCAGGCAAGTTTATTCCCCAAAATAGTTGATCTACACACGCCTAAACGAATCAGCTACTATCCAAACTCATCCAGACATCCTAAACTCATTCAAAAATCAACAAACAATCTAGAAACATCTGAACAACCGTACGTAAAACACATCCAAATATGTTTTTTTCACATTTTTTCACAAATCAAACATATATGATATATACATATAATTACATAATATATATATACTATATATATATACGTATGTGAAACAGCATCTAGTTACACATTAAACAAAGAACTCCCCTGCTGGTCCGTTTCGCGGCGCCTCGGCGGGTTCTGGGAGCTCGGCATCGAAATCCAGATTCACCACCTTTTTTGGAGCGGTAACAGCTCCTGATTTACAGTACCGTAACAGAAAAAACAAGATTTATACTGGATGTATGTTTTCTAATCATCAGTAGTATTTCAGATTTTTTACTGATGTAAAAATAATTCTTACAATTCCAGAAACATAATGCAAAAATCTATAAGAATAGCTAAGATATAATTCCAGAAATGCCTAAAACATACGTAAATTGAACATAGTTACTACTGTGCAGTTTTCAGCAATCTGGATACATTGAATTACCTAAACTATACATCATTCTTGTTGTCTATTTTTGTTGATGTGTTTTTCAATTTGCAGTATACGTGAGTGTGAGTGCAAAACGAAGTCATAGATGGTCTCAAGGAACCGGTCAAAACCTCGCGGGTTTTTGGTGGTCAAAACGCTTCTAAATCTTGCCGTACACTGATAATTTGCATGTCACTGTTCTTTCCCATCTTCTGGCCAGGTTCCTCATGATTGATTACACACATTACATATTTCTGATTTCTTGCGCATCAGCCCATGATTGAACACATCTTCCGCAGCAGGAGACATAGTTGGTGTGCAACGATGCCATAAAATTCGCCGTCGCCTCCGCAGGTGGTTTGCTTGGTGGGACAACCAACAGTCATCCTACTAACTAGAAGCAGGCCATCCTCATCTTAACTAGTGTGGTGACACCACAGTTCCTCCATTGTCTGCTCAAGATTGGGTAGTTAGTGAGCTGCAACCGACCTGCGCGGCCAACAGCCATATGGCAGCAGTGCGGCTGGCACTCATGGCACTGGCACACTGGAAAAGCCAGCTGGTTTTAGGTCTCAAGATTTATGCAGTGTAGATCTTGGCGTTGGAGGACGGCTTTTCTGTGCGCAACCCGATTCTAATTTCAATTGGCTACCTTGATTTCAAAGGATTCCATCTGAATCAAACTTGGGGTTGCATATTTCCCCTCCAGGGTCTCCCTTCCTGCATTTTCCTATCTTTTCCGCTAGCAGAAATTCCACGTTGGCATCACACAGATTTGATTTTGCCCAACTGTTCTTGGAAGACCCTCGTGTTCGATCCTGGATACTAATCTTTTAGGCAGCTTTTATCACCAACATATCTTTGGACACTGCATATTTTTGGATCTACCACCATCACTACCATCTATGGAGGCGAGTTGACATACCGTTCATGGGGTGCTTTTTTTTCAGTGAAGCTTGAGCCAACGCAGAAATGTGCCATCCTGGAAGGTCCACAGTTCACCACTCGGGAATCCATCCACCAAAATGGGACCAGGATCGCTCACAGATTCCATAGCAAGCCATGAGAGATGTCAGTTTATGTCAGTTTCATTCATGACAAATGATGATGAATGATGATGAATGATGATGAATGATGATGAATGCTATTGAAATCAAGGAACACCTTCTTTTTGTCTTGTTTGATCTTGTTTCCCACTGTGCATTCTTCTGGCTGTGGATGTTTTTCTGTGACCTCATTGCTGGTCATTCCAGGACTCACCCCAGTTGGCTGACTTCAACTTACCCAACCTGAAGAACATCGAAGAACACGATGTCTGTGATTCTTCCCATCATATCATATCATATTCATCCCTGATCCCCGATATCCATCGATATCCCCCTGAAAATTTACTGGGAAAACGATGACACGATGACATCCGAGCCACCAGAACTGCACCTGAGCAACCCCACTGTCTGCCGTTTGGTGATGTCACCATCCTGGATGAATATTGGTTGAACCGACTTTCCCAAAATGGTGGTTTTAGATGGGTGTGAAAGAGTCTGAACATGGGGGTATTACTTACCACCAAAAAAAGGCCACTTTAATGGGACACATGATCATAAACCCCAAAAAGAATGGTAGAAAAGCCCCAGTTTCAGACGAACAAAACAGGTGGAAAGCATCAATTTCATTGAACTTTTGGGAATGAACATACATGTGGTCAATATCTCACGCCCTCAATCATGCAATCAGTGGCGCTCCAACCTGGACAACTTAAACTGAGTTTGACTGGGAGTGTCCATGTGTTTTCCCAATTTGCCTCAACTGCCGGGGGCCTTGCACAGTGAACAAAACATTGAATCAAACCAATGCAATAGTATATATCTCAAATGATAATATCCATGCATTCGCAACTCAAAATGATGTGCAATAAAAATATGGATCAACTGGATTTAATATATAACTAGACTATACACAATCATTACATTTGATGTTTTGATTTCAACCATGGCCAGCCTATCTGCTAAACCCCGCAGCTATGGCAAGGCACCTCTGTCATTAACAAAGCATCCCGCAGACGGATCAACGCCCCAAAGGTCTTGGCGCGACCCTGGCGACATCCCGACAGCTGGCGACGTTTCTCTCAAGGGATGGGTTGGGGATCTTTTTTCCAAGATCCTGCTACTGGCCCATGTGTTCTTGCTGTCTATGTAGGCCAAGGAGAGCCTCACCCCCTGATTTTGGTGTCAGAGATCGCAAACCGGGTAAACCTGTCATTGTTTCCAATGATTTGACCACCGGTGGCATCTCTTTCTGAGCCCCCACTGTTTTTTAAGCAACGTGGCCCGGGTTTGAGTGGGATGGCATCTCATATGATATGATACAATTGGGAGGTCCTTCAAAAAGGTGCTGAGACCCTTTTGAGCAAGTGCATCGTTACAGGCAAGGCAGCATTCGGTTCAGAAAGCACTATACTTTTCACATGTTAAAACGGTGCTTTGACCTTCAAGATCTTTGAGAAAGCGTGGGTTTGCTTTAGGAGCAGGACTATCAAATCATGTCATATCATGTCATACCAGTATCATGTATGTACACATGTGTCACAACCTATCACAATTTCACATGTACGTGTATCTGTATATACCATTATATACCAGTACATTGCCAGGTATCTTATTGCCAATAAAAATACACAATACACATGATGTTATATATATATATATATTACATATATATATATATGTATATATGTATATATATATATGTATATATGTAAATATATATTACATGTATAAATATACGTGTGTATATATATATACACATATATATATATATGGTATACATATATACCATCATATACCACATTACAAATACCCCACGTTCTCTCCGGCTGCTTCTGCCCTGTTTCGTGAGCGCTCCGGCCCCTCCGGCACCTGACTGACCGCCTCGCTGAAGAAATCTCGCAGATGGTGGCTGGGGATGTCCTGCGGCCAGCTCACTTAAGAGATTTATCACTGCAATTGATACTGATATGAATTTACATATTATATACCCTCTGGTAATTTAACATAGCTATTGAAAATGACCATTTATAGTGAGTTTTCCGATTAAAAAAGGTGATTTTCCATTGCTATGTTAAATTACCAGAGGGTATGTGTAAATTATTTATATTATAGATTGCAATCTTATATATATATATATTACTCTACTATATGTTATCCGTGATTGTGTTATGGAATAGAAACATATCCATCATGTATCATGAACTCTATCATTTTTGTTGATGGGTTGGGTCAGATTTCGATTGTAACCAGCCGACGTCAACCCATTACGCCCGATTTCGGACCTTGGCATTCTCCACGTCGATCGAGTTGGACTTCAAGAGCTGGAACATCTTTCCGAAGGAATTCAACGCTGGCGACACTGGATCCAGTTCAGTACAAAGCAAGTGCCTCGGTGTTTACGCTGGCAAAGTGTTTAACTTCACATATATACTTTTCACATCTTTTCACATACAAGCAAGGTCGCAAGGTCAGAAATCTATCCATGGACCAAAACATAAGACAACCAACATCCAAAGGGAGAAGAAGGTTATGGTCAAGTCATGCTCCACTTCATTGCCCACAGAAGACCACAGCATCAACTCTCAACGGTTGCGTAGAAAGTTGAAAGTTGAAGAAAACCATCCACAAAAACATCCAACAAACTAGCTGCACCAAATATTTCAGTGCGAAACATGATGAACATAGATGAAATAAATAATGAAATGAGTGAGCTGTTTCTGTTTCCGCCCCTTCTGATCAATTCATCCATCTATTGCCCCTTGGTCCCTCCGTGTTAACGTGCTGCACATCAGATCTGCCCAGCGACAGCAAGGCTCCGTTCATCATCAAGGGATGAAACAAGACCTGCGGGTGAGAACTTTAGCCTCAAACCAGATGTGCCAGGTCAAAAGTCCTGGTACTGTAAATCATGGTACTATAGAAACAATGGTAAATCATGGTAGATGATGGCAAAGCATGGTAAACCATGGTAAATGATGGAGAAAACATCAAAGATCTTTGAACGATTGTGAAGTTTGATTCACCATGATTTACTGGTGGTTGACCTACCCCTCTGGGATCATTATTCCCAATATTTGGATGATTTACCAACCAGTTTACCATGATTTACCATGATTTACCATGATGATTCAGGATGATTTACCACGATTTTCCCACGACGCTTCCATGATTCACCAGCCTGTGAGAGCTGGCCGTTGAATTCCATGGTGAAGAGCTGGTTGTCCAGTTGGGTGGCCGCTGCCTTGCGAAAAAAGGAAAAAAAAAAGGCGTAACATGGCCATCTGGAAAATGGAAAGCCATCCATTTAATCCAGTATCTTGAGTAGAAATTTGTGATTTTATATGGAATCATATATATATATACATACATATTCGTATGTGTATATATATATATATATGAGTATATATTATTATATATTAGGATACCAATCCACACCAATATCTTATGAATACGGATCTGTTTGTGTATCTTTCATTACCAGAGAGTATATCCACTAATCAATAAACATGAATGAAGATTTGTCATGTCTCTTTCTTCACTTAGAGTACCTGTTGTAATTTCTTGGCTGCTACACCCCTTCACCTATGGTGGCTGGGTTTTTCGCGGATCGGGACCCCAGTTCTTCTCCAGCAGATTTCTTCCGAGGGTTCCGTGCTCACCGTTTGAGGATAATTGAGTACACTAACAATTAGAATTTATTATATAGTATCATATAGTATCATATAGTACATGCTAGTACTAAAATCTGTGGTTTTGTTTGTTGGGATGAAATTTTGACTCCCCATCTGCTGATCTCGCAATGTTCCCATCCCTAAGGAACTAACCATAGCTCAACCGCCGCAGGGGTTGCCCGGCGCCTGCCAAAAGACTTCATCTTGGGGCCTCACAGGCGGTCAACAGTTGGAGGTGGTGAATCTGGGCAACAATGAAACGAACGCATGAGAGTGGATTAGTTGTGCACTACATTTTGCAAAATGTAAGGTATATATAATATATTATAATATTATATATAAACATGTATAATCAGCGCGATTGGCCAACAGTCAGACTTCACAAGCGAAGGAAATCTGGTGGTCACTGTATCGACATCGGCCAGTGCCAGGCACCTGGGTCCTCCGTGGACTTCGGTCGCTAAACTCAAAATGTGAGGCACCACGACGCCATCTGCCTGGAGGGATGTCTGAGGCACCAGGGCTGCATGGCATTTACATTAATAACATATCAATGTCAACAAACATGTTTCTGGTTTATATATATATAATATAATATATATATATATATATATTATTTATAATATATTATTACATATATTATATATATATACAATTATATACATATATTATGCGGTATGGAAGACCAACAGTGACAAAGATTGACTGTTGGACCTCAGAAACACACCCTTGACTTCATCCCACCTCATCCAAGCCGCTGTAACTGGTGATCTTTTTGTTGATGGCTGTAATGTAGGCCAAATTCCTCGTCCTGAGCAGAAACAGCACTTTTTTTTCAGGACAAACTCTGTACCTCAGGTCTTTTGGCATATTGCAGTATTACAGCAATGGGCTGCATCCTGACAATTCCTTACAATCAAATACAATCAAGCTCAATATGGCCAAGATACAGTATGCGGCAAAGGGAGTTGTTTCTCCCCATGCTGGAAGGAGCCTCTCACGGTACAGCACGCAATGGAAGTACTGCGACTGATGCACACAATCTCTGCGATGTAAGATTCAATGACGCCTTGGGAAAACGATTTTGGCTGTCTCATCACTTCATTGCGTGAGGACCTTGTACTTCTAGACTCTAGACCCATATGATTCCAGTCCTGTCTACATCCAACTTGCAGGCCATGTCTGCGGGAGATGTATTGCTTCAGTAAGTCTCTTCCAAGGATCCTTTGTCAGTGTTTTTTCGCAGCCTTCTTCCACAACTTCCATCTGGAGTAGTTCTAGTAACTAGTACTTCACCAAACTGACAACAAGAAAGTAATTATTTTCGGTTTTAAGGATAATTCCTCCGATCCAATTCCCATCCAGTGACCAAGCCTTTGGATCCAACTGTGGTAGGGACCAAAGGCACACCATGGCACGACCCAACCTGGCACGGTTTGCAATGTTCGGAAGGCCTTGTTCTCAAAGAGTTTGGAACATGTTTCCCACGAAACCAAAGCACCACATGCATAAACATGAAGCAAAATCTGATCCAAACGAAATATCCAATCCAAACCAGGGACCACGCAATCGACAGGTCTCATCGTCCTCTGGCAAATCCTCCGGCCAGACGGGGCTGCTCCGTATCATTCCATTTCAACATCAGCCAATGAGCGGGGGAATTGCCACATTCACCATCATCATCATCATCATAATCATCATCATCATCATAATCATCATCATCATCACCATCATCATCATAATCATCATCATCATCACCATCATCATCATCATCATCATCATATCATCATCATCATCATATCATCATCATCATCATCATCATCATCATCATCATCACATCATCATCATCATCATCACCATCACCATCATCATCACCATCATCACCATCATCATCATCATCATCACCATCACCATCATCATCATCACCATCATCATCACCATCATCATCACCATCATCATCATCATCATCACCATCACCATCACATCATCATCACCATCATCACCATCATCCCCATCATCATCATCATACATCATCACATCATCCCATCATTCACCAGCAATCATCATCCATCACCATCACATCATCATCACCATCTCTCACCATCATCATCATCACATCATCATCATCATCATCACCATCATCATCACCCCATCATCATCATCACCATCATCATCAGCCACCATCACCACATCTCATCACCATCATCATCATCATCATCATCACCATCATCATCATCACATCATCATCATCATCATCATCACCATCTCATCATCATCACCATCATCATCATCATCACCATCATCACATCTCATCATCATCATCACATCATCATCGTCATCCTCATCACCATCATCATTCCATCATCATCATCATCATCCATCATCATCCATCATCATCCATCATCATCATCACATCACCATCATCATCATCATCATCATCATTCATCATCACCATCATCCTCACCATCATCATCACCATGGTCATCATCATCATCATCATCACCATCACCATCACATCATCATCATCATCACCATCACCATCATCATCATCATCATCCATCATCATCACCATCATCATCATCACCCATCACCATCATGATCAATCATCACCATCACCATCATCATCTCATCACCATCACAATCAATCAATCATCATCACCATCACCATCATCATCATCACCCATCATCATCACCATCATCATCATCATCACCATCAAACACCATCATCATCATCACATCACCACATCATCATCACCATCACCATCATCATCATCATCACCATCACCATCATCATCATCACCATCATCATCGCACCAACACCATCTCATCATCATCCCCATCACCATCTCATCATCATCATCACCATCACCATCATCATCACAATCAACATCACCATCATCATCATCCTCATCACCATCACCATCATCATCATCACCATCACCATCATCATCATCATCATCATCACCATCATCATCATCATCATCATCACCACATCATCATCATCATCATCATCAGCATCAGCATCAGCATCAGCATCACCATCATGAACTAACGGGAATTTATGGATCCACTGGATCGACTACCCGACTCCTCCGTTGGACCGTCGGCAGCTGCTTCTTCCTGGGGCATCAATGGATTGAAAACGAGACGGACCCAAGGCACGGATTACCATTGTAGAATTCCAGTGATATTAAGATATATTAAGATTATTAAGGCCATATAAATCTATATAAGATATATTATAAGATTAAGAATATTGCCTAACAAAAAGGGAAACCTTCATTGCATAAGCCACTGAAACAGTTGTTGCATGTGACTTTGCCTGGCCATGGGCCTTTCTGCAGAGGAACTGGGGGGGTTGTTCTCAGAATTCTGGATGACTTTACCCAAGCATCCTCTGGCCATTGGTCTTCACTTAATTTCATTCATTAGAATACATCTATCTCATAACAAATCAACATCCAACAATAGAATCGAGCAACTCCTGCGCAACTCCTGTGCTATGGAGAAGCTGAACCACACATCAATAGTCAATTCACCTCAATTTCCCTGCGCCACCTGCAGCCAGCCGCGATAGCCGGCTTTCCAAGCACGAGGCTGATCTCCTTCCACCTGGAAACGTGTCCCTGACCCAACCATTGCAGGTTGCCAGTGAAAAACTGTTATTGTACTTTGGCAAGGGTAAGCGCAAACATAAATCATCGCCAATTTCTCCCGAAATGAGGAGTATTTTCACATCAACCCTCTACGATTAAAGCTTTGCTATTGGCTTTATGTGGGTTTACCCTATAGGTTTGCCACATGGTGCATGGAAACCCCCCGAGAACTGGCGGGTTTTCTCGGACCTGTTTCTGCCAGGAGATGCACTTGAAGCGCCAGCGTTGGAGCATGGGACAATCCGCACGAAGGCACAAACTCATCAAGAGCTGCGGCATGGACATCAGCGTCTCCTCGGGGCACGCCGGGCAGGGGAAGTGAAAAATGGTGGCACCATGTGGCACCCATGGACCTGGTGCAACCTGGAAACCTGGAATGGGGAAACACCTTGGGTAGCCAATGTTAGTAAAGCCATCAGAAACATTCATGTTTTCCAAACATGTTTTGACGGTAAAAATATCACCCATGGTAAATTTGGGGATGGTTTACTAGTGCTTCACCAACATTATCGAACATGAGTGGGATTTCTTGGGAGCTGCAAATGATTTGACCCCCCCAGTCCTTTGAGGCAGACAAGCGCCAATGCGTCCTTAGCAGGAAGCAGAAAGCTGATGCGGATGTCGGCTGAAGTGTTTGGATGTTGGTGGTAACAACCAACATGATTCTTTCTTTGGATAGAAGGGCTAGGTAAAAGCAAATAAGATTATTTTTTGTTTGAAAGGGGGTTACAGTTTACAGTATTCGTTTGAGCAACACTGATCCACTCGTTGTTGGTTGAGCCACTTCCATCTTTTATCAAGAGGGGATACTCTGGCCGATTCTCAAACATCTTGCTGCTTGCATGCAACGTTGTCTGCACACATGAAAAGGAATCTGCCTACATCGCCGTAAATGCAAAGGGATCATGGTACACTCACAGTCAATCCGAGCAAATCCAATATTATCCAATATTGTTTCGGAATATGAATATCTGAGTATATCTGAGTCTTTTCCCCTCAACAAAAGAAAGAAACAAACAATTTACAGGACGAATAATCCCCTCTGGGAGGCATGGGAACTCCATCCCCGCTGAGCGGCGCTTTCCGATACTGACCAAAGATGATGGCCTTGGTTCCCGCTGGGATGATGAGCATCTGTGATCTACAGAGGATCCTTTAAGAATTGATTGACTTCCATGATATTCCATGATATTCCATGATATTCCATGATATTCCATGATATTCCATGATATTCCATGATATTTCATGTGAAATCATGTGAAATAATGTGAATACGTTGCCCTGATGCTGAAGTCTAAACCGAACACCTGGAATCCCTATTAGAAACCTGTCCACCAAGACGACTGGTGCAGCTTCTCTCGTTAGTGGCACCGTCCATCCCAGCGCTCCTTTTTCCCTTTGGCCCGATGTCACCACGGGCAGGCAAATCGAAACATTTGAAACGAAGGGACTGCCACCTGCCGCAATGCAGATTCTGTGCAGTGTTGAAACCCGCAAATGCTGAGAACCATGCGACAGCCACACGATCTCACATGGAATTCCAGTTGTCATACAAATGTTTTGGTATGCCGCAATAGGAACCCACCTGTCATGGCACTTCTTCTTGTCTGGAACCACCTGCAAGGGGCGGGAGATGGTTCAAGGGAATGGAAGCACAGCAAAGGCTGTTTTGATGAAACATGTTCCAAATGCTGATGCCGAAAGACATGGGTCAACACCAATAATATCATAAAGCACGATAGATATTCTGAATTGTGGGATGGATATCCCTGACTACCAGCTATGTTTTGGTGTGAAAAGCAAGGGCACTTCTGTTGAAGCTGTCGTATGTCTAATCGGCCGGCCTGTGTTGTAGCGCTCATGCATCTCTGGGTCATTGCACTCTCGTTCATAGTCGTGGCCCTGCATCCAGAGTGGAGTTTGGTATCAGCCAATCAATCAGATTTATCCACGGGCCATGGGATTCTGTTGGGCTGGCAGGTTTGCAAACAAAACTTTGACGAGTGAGTCTCGAGAAACTTTGTAGTACTTAGTGGACCATTTTCAATCCATACTTATATATAAATATATATATATATAAATATATATATATATGATCTTGCATCCACAACAGGAGCCAGGACTTCAGACATCTTCAGACATCTTCAGACATCTTCAGACATCTTCAGACACATCAATCCAGGCTGGGATTCAGCCGCACAGTCATGCACAGTCCATTTTTGCCATTTTTCACAGATGGCTGAAATCCAGGTTTTGCGACGGAAAACCGTCTTCCAAAACGAACAACACGTCTCCATCCATAGGTACTTCTGGGATAAGAATAAAACAGGGATCATAATTCCAAGATATTCATGGGATCTTATGGGATAACAATAAAACATGAATCATCATTCCAGGATATTCCAGGGCACAAAACAACATGTTTGAAATCAGCCACGAGGTGTCAAACCATGTCAAACCGCCCCATTGCCTCAACTTCTTCATGACTCACCTTGGAGAGAGTATTCCTCAGTTTCCAGGTCCCCCTTGTTTTGGGACTACCCCCGAGACCAGCCATGGATAGCCCATATTTCAACTGTGCAGCTGCCAAGACACTGGTACTCTTTGTAGGTGATACCTGAACCTCAGACAGCTGCTCCAAAACTTGGATGATTCTGACAAAATCTCCATGGTTGTTGGTTAAATCAGTTAAATCCCCATTATATGGTACTTACATAAATGGTATATAGTATATAGTTTAATTATATGATATTATATGATGGAACTATTCACTCAATGGTTATGGGTCCGCCAACTCCAAATATCTCAACTTTCGCTCAGGTGCTTTTGAAACCACGACCTGAACCATCCTCTACCACCACTGTAGAAAGGAGCCTCGCCGCAGCCATCGTCTCTGGGGGTTTCAGGTATGGAACCGCCATGAATCAGTGTTTTATAATGGAGCAAAAGAGAACATGTCGAATCCAGATGAATCCAGCAAAACATCTCAAGCCACCCCAATATCTGAAAGTGCGTCTTATCTAAACTATTGTTTGGTCCCAGTGAAGTCGGTTTGCTCCGAAGCATTGGGTTTGACAGAACTTTGGTGGTTAGACCTAGGTCCGGGTCGTTTCCAGTCTGACAGTCAGGTGGCAAATAGGAAAACAAAGACTGCTCTGAAATTTCCGCAAGTGCCAATCTGGTGTGTTTTCAACCAATCCCGAACATATTAAAGCCAATTAGCTTAATCTTATCATATCGTATCATCTTATCATCTTATCATGTCATCGTCATCATCTCACCATCGTCGTCATTATCGTAATCATCGTCATCATGATCCTGTAAATACCAGCCAGTTCTATAAGATTCTAAGATTCTATAAGCCATCTATAAGCCATCTATATATAGTTTCTCGATGTCTCTTGCCCGTTCCTATAAATCCCCGTGAACAAAAAGAACACGCCTGCGGAGCAAAGACCGCCGCATGTTGCCACCGGCCCGCGGAAACACCTAGCCGGGGGTTTCCAAAAGCCGCTCCAAAGTCTTGGGAACTCAGCATGAAATGAATATCTATGAAAATGCTGGGAAAACACCATTGAATCACCATTGATTTCACTGGTTAGGTTCATCTCCCCATGAAATTGGCCGGGTACCTGCTGGATGGCGGCATGCAGCTTGTCCCTGGAGATGTCTTCGTCCTGATGATCTCCACGTGGTATGCACGTATGATAAAATGCGGTGAAATAATAAGGCAACATGTGGCAAGATGTGGTAAGATGTGCACGGTAAATGCCTCATTAGAGATAAAGATGCGCAAGTGTGATTAGGACCTTCTTTCTTTGGCCTTTGGTCGCAACAAGAAGGCTACAATTCGCCCTTGCGTCGTGAACAAGTCACAATTTCATAGCATGTCTCAGTTGTGCTCCCCAGGCCTGCTTGATATTCAACTTGTTTTGCGTCAGCCTTTGCTGCGCAAACTGCTGAGGGAACACGAGGGAACCATATCTTTGTCGGTTCCGGATGGAGGTCTTGCTGCCCAAGTCGCCCTATTCTAAGTCAACGTGGAAGGATGAGGGAAACATGTGTGTAACAGCAAAATGCAAGTGCAATACATCTTGGACACTGATTATAGTTAGATCATGGGGAGATAGAAGACACAAACAGTAAAGATAGTAAAGAGAGTGGGAGATGAAAAGAAAGGTGCGCAGTCATCCAACCAATCCTAATCTGGTGCGGCGTGGGTTCTGAGCCCAACCAAGATGCGATACCGGCAGCCATCTGTGGGAACACTATCGACTCGCCAGGACACTCAAATCATCTGCATTTGCAGGTAAATAAACACCAGTTTCACATAGTTTCACTTACATGATGATTTTTTTCAAATGTGGTATCTAACCGCTGGAAATCAAACCTGGAAACTCAACTGATTGTCAATGAATCAGATGATGCTCCGAACATATGTCTTATTCGTTCTTATTCAAAATCAACTTTGTCTTATGCAAAATCATTCAAAATCAACGAATGAGGTCTTGGAAAAATCGAGGGACCAGGTTGGTATATCCCGATGATTCATCAACCAAGCAGTGGGAATCTGGGACATCTACTCTTCAGTAATATCGATTATGGAAAAGCCAATGAAAAGCCGACATTTAGAAATCATGTTCCTATGGGAACCAAGGGAATTCCATCTTTTAATACCAAAGGGTACAGTAGATGTCCCAGATTCCTGTCACTGGGCATCCCCACTTCCAGAGCCGTCGCAGGAAGTGTCGCGTCAGTAGCTCGCGCGCGTGGGGGCATTGACCGACAATCCGATTTCCTGGCGGCTCCCGGCAGTTTAGGGATTACCTGGAGAAACCATGAGCCATGCAGGAAGAGTTCAAGAGCAGTTTAATGGTTGCCCCAGAGGCAAACAGGACATGTTCAAAATTGTTCAAACACTTAACATGCCGAATCAAAATAAGACCTACTTCAAAGCTGAAAAGGGAAAACACTCTCACTCTGCCAAAAAAAAGGGTGCCGGAAGTCACACACAATCCCCGACCCAAATCTGACAACTGGTCTCACCTGGTTCATTTCGCCATTTTTCGAAGACGGGATTTTGATTCATGCCTGGCGCACACTGGAACTGGCTGGAACACAACGTTGTCTTTGCACAAGCTTGCCAGATCTACCCATCAAGGCGTTGTAAAGGACGCCCTCAGAGTGGCCAACATACACGTTTTGTGAAGCAGTGGCAGTTTCTCAATGAATCTGAAAGCTCCATTGGACATTTGCTGAACAGGCTTCCATCTTCCCTTGTCACCTGCGTCAAAGACCTCTATTTGAATACACACGCGCAGAAGATCTATGATTACGATTGATGACGTATCTCATCGGAGAGGGAAGATCAATCACTGAACGCTGACGGCCATGAACGTGCCATGAATTAGGCTCCGACGACTGTGTACCTGTCGGCAGGAGGTGGGGCCGTGGTACCCAAATCAACTGGGTTGTGATAATAGTTGTGATTGGGATTTCCTGCACCAATTGGCTGGAATTGGGCTGAAAACAGGCATGCTATAGCAACATACCGATCCACAAACACTGGTGAATATTATCCGGACTTCTTTGGCTGCGGCTGAAAAGTGGTGCTGGAACCCCAAATTAGGATATATAAATATTGATAAATCAGGCCTAAATGTGCAATCAAGTAATTATAATTTCTTTTATGTTTCCAGTCATCCAGTTTCATTTGTTTTGGTAAATAATGCAAGCCATTGCTATCAACAATTTCAACACCAATAGTCCATACGTATCCATATGTTTGAACGATTATAGCAAATAAATGAAATAATGAATTTCATTCTCTATCGAACTTCATAATTACCCATCAAAATTATCAATATTTTTCCAATACCCTGCTGCCTCTTCTTGAAATCGATGGGTTCGCCAGCAATTTGAGACACAGAGTTGTCGGGTCGAACCTGCGTAGAGTTGTGCCACGTTGTAGCTGCAAGCTGCGGCAACCAAAATAGCAAGCTGCGCGATGTAATAAGATGTAATAAGTATAATAATTAGTTGTATTATTCATCATTACTATAGATATCAATTACTATAGTTTATACTGTTTTCGTTATTGATGTTATTGTTCTTATTGGGATCGGGATTAGCTGTAAGTCTGGTGCCTTTTGCAGGGCCGAGGGCACGCTGCGTTTCAGCTTGTTGTTTAAGGCTGCTATCGTTGTAGGTCATGAAGAATGGGACTAGCGTGGTCAACCCGACAATGAACCACGCCCAATTTGTACAGTTTCCCCAAACATGAAAAGTGTTTGAACAAAACATACCCTTTGTTAATTTGACATAGCTATGGAAAATGGCCCATTTATAGATGATTTACCTTTCAGAAATGGCGATTTCCATAGCAAAATGCTGGATTACCAGCAGGTACCCCAACAAGACTGGGATGAGTGCAAACCAACCAGCCAGCCTGCCTGCATGCCGCTGTCACATTGCAGAAATCCACCAGCCAACTGGCGCCAAGCTCAGGAATGACGATCAAAATACAATGTGTCTCGACATTTTGTACTGAAACTTATATAAATGATTATACATGATTGGCACATACATATATATATATATGTACATATATATATATATATACACATACATACATATAAAATTATATAATCACATATAACTGTATAACTATTCACATCTCTTCCCGGAATCATAGGAATCGGCCACCCTGCTATAGGAAAGTCATGTCATATTATCCATTTATCCCACAGGTCACGATGAGCCGAACATGGTGCCCTCTTCACAACACCCAGCCGACCCAGCCTGGTGTGAAGAATCAAAGCTTCTGGAGATACCAGCGATGTTGGGCACAGCTGGAGCCTGATGGAAGGTGATTATGCTGAGTGGATCAGTGGGATTTGATTTTGATTCATAGAATGGGACTATATACTAAAGTATAGATTAAATTATCACTAGAAATTATTGAGCCCTGAAGTCAAACATGAGAAGCAAACAACAAAAAAGGACAGCCTCGTACTGCGTCATCCTTTGAAGGGGACACGAGTGAGAAACTCAGACTGTTACCAAGAAACGATCAAGAAGCAGAGCCAAGATATGTGTTCATCGGCTGTTCTGAGGAAACATTGTTCTACATGTCAGTCTCGACCTTTTCGGTCTTACAATCTTCATTATCCGAAACGTTCCCTACCGCAAACCGAACAGGTTGAGCAACAACATGTGCCGCATGCCCTCATGCATTGTTTTGACAGTCCCAATGTGTGTCCAAACAATAAAAACGCAATCATCTTTGATTGTTTGAATCATCTTTTGAATCATATTTTAAATCATCTTTTGAATCATCTTTGAATCATCTGTTCAATCATCTTTGCAATCATCTTTGAATCATATTTTCAATCATCTTTGCAATCATCTTTGAATCATCTTTGAAACATCTTTGAATCATCTTTGAAACATATTTTCAATCATCTTTGCAATCATCTTTGAATCATCTTTGAAACATCTTTGAATCATCTTTGAAACATATTTTCAATCATCTTTGAATCATCTTTGAAACATCTTTGAATCATCTTTGAATCATCTTTTCAATCATCTTTGAATCATCTTTGAAACATCTTTGAATCATCTTTGCAATCATCTTTGAATCATCTTTGAATCATCTTTTGAATCATTTTTTCAATCATCTTTGAATCATCTGTTGAATCATCGTTTCAATCATCTTTGAATCATCTTTGAATCATCTTTTCAATCATCTTTGAATCATCTTTGAATCATCTTTTCAATCATCTTTGAATCATCTTTGAATCATCTTTGAATCATCGTTTCAATCATCTTTGAATCATCTTTGAATCATCTTTGAATCATCTGTTCAATCATCTTTGAATCATATTTGAATCATCTTTGAATCATCTTTGAATCATCTTTTCAATCATCTTTGAATCATCTTTGAATCATCTTTGAATCATCTTTGAATCATCTTTTCAATCATCTTTTCAATCATCTTTGAATCATCTTTTGAATCATCTTTTGAATCATCTTTGAATCATTTTTTCAATCATCTTTGCAATCATCTTTGAATCATCTGTTCAATCATCTTTGAATCATCTTTGAATCATCTTTGAATCATCTTTTCAATCATCTTTTCAATCATCTTTGAATCATCTTTTGAATCATCTTTTGAATCATCTTTGAATCATTTTTTCAATCATCTTTGCAATCATCTTTGAATCATCTGTTCAATCATCTTTGAATCATCTTTGAATCATCTTTTCAATGATCTTTGAATCATCTTTTCAATCATCTGTTCAATCATCTTTGAATCATCTTTGAATCATCTTTGAATCATCTTTTCAATCATCTTTGAATCATCTTTGAATCATCTTTGAATCATCTTTGAATCATCTTTGAATCATCTTTGAATCATCTTTTCAATCATCTTTTGCATGCTTTCCCCCCAATCTTGGAGAAAGCACCTTGCTCCCCAGGCGACGGCTCGGGGTGGACACCTCAGGAACCATTCCCAGGAACCCAGCAGATCCGGTCGGGGAAACCTTCCAGACTTACAGAGGATATTGTATGATACCCTATAGAAAATCACCATTTATTAAGTTTTCCCATGAAAAATGGTGATTTTCCATAGTTATGTTAAATTACCAGAGGGAAACCCCAGTTGGGTATGGTTTCCAACTATCCACTGATGGATATGAAATGATACAAACAGTCTGTTGTGGTTGATTGGTCTATTGTTGGGTTTATGGCAAGTATGGTTAGTACTGTTTACTATTGGGTTTACCACCATGAGATATGAAATAGTCTCAGTCGGCCCTCTTTCATCACAATCTTGATCAACATCACATCACCCTTTTGATTTCATGAGTTGCCGGCGTCGAATCCATGAACATGTCTGTTCCTGCAATATTCCACATGATTTTCCAAAGTATATATATAGGGGGTTTCCCATTGCCATGTTATGATGTTTGTTTCCATTCAAAATGCAGGTTTCCCCGCTCTTCCCGGCACCTTGGCTCGTGACGCCTGAACAGCCTGACATGCCATGGTGGTGTTGGGACCCCTGAAACACGAGCACCATGGAGATGCTGTTGAATATTTTCTTGAACAATGATGCAGATGCTAATGCTGATGATGATTATTATTATTACTATGACTATTAATTATCAATATGTTTCTATTTTTTTTTCTACTATTATATATATATATTGATATGATGATGATGATGATGATGATGATGATGATGAGGCGGAGGAGGAGGAGGAGGAGGACGATGACGATGACGATGACGATGACAATGACGGTATGTTTCAAGTCAAACGGGTTCAAAAGAGGTTCAAATCGGACATTCTGACAGGTAAATGATGCAGGATTCTTCCCTAGAGATACGGGCTTAATATCACCATGCTCTGCATCACCGCTATCATATTTTGTTTGATACTTAGAAGCCCCTATCTATCGCATGTTTCTATTGTCCTTAACGATGTTTACCATGTTTATATTATGTTTGACATTGTTTTGCAATGTGTTAGCACGGTTTTGTCCATGATCACCATGTTTCACCATGCTTTTGGCCAGGTCTTTACCATGGTGTTTCACATTTTTTTTGACACTTTTCTAAAACAACATGGGTGTTTCACCATATTTTTTTTACATTTTTCAAACCATGGCCATGGGTTTTTCACCATTTCTCCTTCCGAAGCCCATGGTTTTTCCCAGCACCTCCTAGCGCCTCCCCTCCGCCCTCGGCCTCGCTGATCTGCCGTCCCTCCATGCGCACGGTGGCCATCTCTGAGGGCCACGGCAGCTCGCGGCGCAGATCGGCCACCTCCGAGGGGGTTCATAGCCATGGAGGGTACCCCAATGGTTTTGGATGGTTTTGGATGGTCCATCAATGGTTATGGATGGTTTTTGTTGAAGGAAAATCCGATGAACATTGATTGGGATGCATGATATAGCTGAATGGTTTTGGATGGGAAAATCCATCTATGGTTTTGGATGGTTTTTGTTGAAGGACAACCCTATCTGAAACTATTTTTTGGATGAGATATCTACTGATGGTTTATCCAAGGTTTATAAAGGAAAATCAACGGCTTTGAACTTTGGATGGTCCATCTATGGTTTTGGATGGTTTATAATTAAAGGAAAATCCTATGAAAATTAATTGGGATGATATACCCATCTATGGTTTTAGAAGGTTTTGGAAAAGGAAAATCGGATCTGAAAATGGATTGGGATGAAAAAATTGGATGGTAAAAAACAATGTGTCATGCTGATGGCTGGTTTATGGTTGATGGTTAATGGAAAAATGGTTGATAACATGGAGTATTTATATAGTATTCTTCCATGGATGATAATGCTTGGTCTTCTATTCCATGGAACAGATTACTTACACATTATAGTTCATGGATGATAAATGATGATAATGGTGGATTTGTTTTCGATTTCTTTGTGTGTTTGCTTACTGAGCTATATGTATAATGTTTAAATACCATTGTCGCAATCTATATATCTCTGGAAATATAATGACATATGTGTTTTTTGTCCCCAAATGAACCAGTTCAACAAACGTAAATGGGTTGGTGAATTAACCAGTCTGTTAGTATCAACCTATTCCATCCCTTTATACTGCTTGGTGAATAGGTATTCCTGTTATGTGTTGTTGCAATCCCTAAACCAGGTGGTACAATCCACATCTCATAACCAAACCAACACTCACATTTCAAACGGCTCAGCGGGCAAATGGGGAATGCAGGGAAACATCATAGTTCTGATTGGACATTTCAGGCCAGATTCCATGAAAATGAAGCAGTTCAGCAAAATTAAAGGATCAATTCATGGGAAAATCATCTTCCGTACGGAAGCCTCATGAGTGGAAGGGAACAAGGGAATCAACCATTCACTGGATTGAGTTTTGTTGGCAAAGATGCCGAATGTTTTACCAGCGTCGATCATCCAGAAAAGCGATTCCGATTTTCTTCACTTGATCCACATACTGCAACAGATTGACATATATTGGCACAACGGCAATGGGAATTTCCAAGAAAAGTTGTAGCCATAATTGATGATGTAGTAATATGTATATATATATATGTACTAAACCATATCAAGACCCAATTCCTTGGACTTGTTGTTGCCTTGGTTGGAATCACGCTCCAAAGTCCAAGACAATTTGGGCCCCCCGACAGTGAAGGCCCACCTCAGCATCATTGGATACCATTTGAGTATCTTGGAACCCCCGATCCTTAATCAACCAGGCTTCACCAATCTGGGACACCATCCGTAACCAATGTGCAAAGCATGTGCGGATTATACATTGCGAAACATGACGGACTTGCTTTGATTTCTTATAGTCTTATAGGGTTTGTCGTGGTTTACCACACTAGTCCAGATCTTGATCCAATTGCACAAGGCCGATATAATACGACAGCTGTAATGTATTGGTTCAGGTGATGACTGGAAGATCTTACTGATGAGCAGGCGACGGATCTGAGGATCATAGTTCCATGTTGGGTTCATGTTCACAATTTCCTTTCCAACCAGGAACTATATGGAACTATATGGAACTATATTGAACTATATGGAACTATGTGGAACTATATGGAACTATATGGAACTATTAACATCATTTGGGATCATAGTTCACAATTTCCAACAACCAGGTCCCACTTTTCCATCATAGTGATAGTGATGCTGGGTGCCCAAACTTGGACCCCCGGTGATGCCCTGGTTGTGGACAGTAGTCTCGATCACCTGACTTCACGCCAAAATGCCCAACCAGTTGGCCTAGTGGAGGGATACCCTTTGGTAAACCAACGTAACTATGGAAAAAAAACACCATTTTTCATGGGGAAATCCACTATTTCTATGGCCATTCACCATGCTATTAATGGGTAAATCCACTATTTCGACTGGGCCATTTTCCAGTTCGCAATCTGTAAACGTTTTTTCCAGAGGGATCAACTTTGGGCTCATGATTCCAGGCCCAAGCCCCCTCCCTCCACCGTGTTGGTCACTTAAATTCTTTGAGGTTCATGATACCCAATTAGTTTTCACATAGTGATCCCACAAGGCCAACACAAAATCAACATATCCCAACTTTATCACGGCAGTTGTTGACTTGTAATCAGGATGCGCAACGAAAGTCAAAAACCAGTGGTCTCGTTGCACGTTGCTTCAGAAACACTGATTGTGGCCAGCCCCTAGTGACTAGTGATAAAATATCGCAAAAACATTGGTAATATCCTTCAGTTTATGAAAACATGGGTAATACCCCCAGGATTGTGAAAAACCATGGGTAAGGATCTATATCCTTCAGTTTGTGAGAAAAAAACACATAGGATATCACTTGTTCACTGGCAGTGATAAATCCTGGATGAATGGAATCAAGTCCCCAACCTGGTGTTTGACACTGATCATTTTGACCAGTTGGATCCATCTTTGCTTCAGAAGTAAAATCAAAATACATCAAACAGCCTGAGACCTACCCGGCAGAATCGGCAGAATCACGTTGAAAAATCTTGAAAAGCAATCCCTCCCAGCCTTTGCAGTGCCCCAACCCAATGCGACAAACATGCTGCCTCGCACGTTGCCACCGTCGAAGAGAACACAATCAACTTCCAGCTCCTTTCTCAGCGCATCACCTGGCACTCCAGGCACTTTCCAAACCTGGAACTTATCCTCACAAAAATGTGTTGGTTGTTGTCATTCATGACCTCTTCAAAGTGGATTGATTGATGATTGATTGATATTTGGTGATTAATTATGCCCCTGACTCACTGTGCTTAGGTTGGCTCGTCGTCCTACTGAGGTCTAAACAGTATTCCATTTATTCCTAACTTCTGGACCCTTCTTCAACACCTCATGTCCAGTGGCATGTATCCTGGAACATGTCCTGAAGGCCCCAGGGGGCAGTAGAAAAACAATTACCTATTACCTGTTGAGCATTGCTTGTTCATCTATTGCATCTAGTTGGATCAGAGTACATTGGGAAGTATATGGAAGTCATGAATGTACTAGGTACTAGCAGACTCTAACCCCTGACCAGATTTGCTCTCTATATTTCTATACCTGGGCAAAAAAACTGGCGGGACACACCAATGGATCCATGGCTTTTCATACTTCCATTAAATGGCACACTTAATGTTATGTATTTAAATATGGAAGGAATAATGGTATGTATTAAATGTTATCCATTAATGTTAAATACACATACTTCCATTAAATATGGTATGTATTTAAGTTTTTTGGTTTGCCACATACTTACATCCGATAAAAAGATAGACACATACTGTACCACTACAATCATTTTCAATAGCATTCAACGATCCCTTCTTTTTGGGAGTTGCTACTAAATATTTGGTCAATACAAAATGGGGATCCCAAAGTCACTATATGGTTGTTTCAATACTAAGTCATGGTCTGATGAATTGGACGATTTGAGGGTTTCCATAAATGGGGGTACCCCATTTCATCATCCCTTTTCGTAGGATTTTCCTTTATAAACCATCCAGTTTGAGGGTAGCTCCATTATCCCCATTTATGGAAACCCCCATTTGGGGGTACCTTGCGAACACACCCCGTGGCACATAGGAAGCTGCCCATTAAAGTCTGCTCCGAGGAAGACTTCTTGGAGGAAATAGCCTGGCACAAAGAAGGCCAGGGGATACTGTGCACATTGGTTGTTTGGGGTATACCCTAACATTACATGGCAATATACGTCATAAATGACATGGAATATGTATATATATATATTATATATATATATATATATTATAACCCCGTATTTTAGTACTGGTTTGGAAAACCTCGGCTTTCTGCCAGAAACCTCGGGTTTTTCCACTGACCCCACGTTTTTTGCGGGTTTGTGTTCCTAGGGTATATATAGATTAATATATACAGTACATATTATATATAATATTATATAATATATATAATTATATATATGTGATTCTGCTGTTTACAGCTCATAACGTCAACACTTCGCCAACTCAGCGATCTGCCGCACTTTTCCTTCGGTCGCACACAGCGACAAAAGGTCGTCATCAGGCCATCGGCAGCCAACTCCCTCTGCAGTCAGAATCGATGTGGCTCAGCTGGTGCAGCACTTGAACCTGAAGCGGTAAGCATCTCCAGTGGTTTGTCTTGGGTTTGACTCTCTATCTGCTCCTTTTCATCAGGGAAAAAAAACGGTTTCATGGCCATGAAAACATGATTTTTAGGTGACCACATGGGACCATAAGTCTCTAGATTTCTTGACTTCCCCAAAGTGTTGAACGTTGAAAACTGGCTTCGTCATCCTGCTGAGATACACCGCTTCCGCGCGTCGAGAGGAGCTCTAGTCATTCTTGTTCCGGCTCTCCTGCTGGCGCCGGCTGGTCAAGCTCCCCTTCATGGTTTTAGTGGTCGATGAATTTGATAAAACATCACATTCATTATGGTTTATCTAATTATGGTTTATTATGGTTTCGAATGTGATAATGTTGAGTCCTGATTAGTACCTAGGGTCGCTATTGTGGCAAATTTTTCCAAATTATTCTGAAACTCATGTATTGTTTGGAGGGTTCGCTTTTGTGGCAAAACAAAATTGGGAGAGCCCTTTTTTTTGCAAAAAATACTGTAATTGCTGAGAGGCATTTTTCTCAAAAACGCTGTAGCTCAGTCAATTTTTTGCTCATCTCCCTATCTGAGCCTGTAAATGCATCTCTATCTGAGTAGGTTTGTTTGCTGGGTTCACTATTGCAGCAAGCTGTGCCAGAGCAGCCCCTGGAAGCCCAGAAGAGAAGCAAGCCTTTTCCAAAGGCAATTGCCAAATTCAAACTCCAAGCCTTTCCCAAAGGAGCCAATCCCTTATTAAACAACAGCTTTTCCACAATTTTCCAAGGACCTGGACCAGGAGAGGCTCCATTTCACTTTAGTAGGTTTGTTTGCTGGGTTCACTATTGCAGCAAGCTGTGCCAGAGCAGCCCCTGGAAGCCCAGAAGGGAAGCAAGCCTTTTCCAAAGGCAATTGCCAAATTCAAACTCCAAGCCTTTCCCAAAAGAACCAACCCCTTATTAAACCCTTATTAAAGAACAGCTTTTCCACAATTTTCCAAGGCCCTGGACCAGGAGAGGCTCCATTTCACTTTAGTAGGTTTGTTTGCTGGGTTCACTATTGCAGCAAGCTGTGCCAGAGCAGCCCCTGAAGAAGGGAAGCAAGCCATTTCCAAAATTGCCAAATTCAAACTGCAAGCCTTTCCCAGAAGAACCAATCCCTTATTAAACCCTTATTAAAGAACAGCTTTCCCACAATTTTCCAAGGCCCTGGACCAGTAGAGGCCCCATTTCACTTTAGTAGGTTTGTTTGCTGGGTTCACTATTGGAGCAAGCTGTGCCAGAGCAGCCCCTGAAGAAGGGAAGCAAGCCATTTCCAAAATTGCCAAATTCAAACTGCAAGCCTTTCCCAAAAGAACCAATTCCTTATTAAACCCTTATTAAAGAACAGCTTTCCCACAATTTTCCAAGACCCTGGACCAGTAGAGGCCCCATTTCACTTTAGTAGGTTTGTTTGCTGGGTTCACTATTGCAGCAAGCTGTGCCAGAGCAGCCCCTGGAAGCCCAGAAGGGAAGCAAGCCATTTCCAAAATTGCCAAATTCAAACCCCAAGCCTTTCCCAAAAGAACCAATCCCTTATTAAACCCTTATTAAAGAACAGCTTTTCCACAATTTTCCAAGGCCCTGGGCCAGGAGAGGCTCCATTTCACTTTAGTAGGTTTGTTTGCTGGGCTCACTATTGCAGCAAGCTGTGCCAGAGCAGCCCCTGGAAGCCCAGAAGGGAAGCAAGCCATTTCCAAAATTGCCAAATTCAAACTGCAAGCCTTTCCCAAAAGAACAAATCCCTTATTAAACCCTTATTAAAGAACAGCTTTTCCACAATTTTCCAAGGCCCTGGGCCAGGAGAGGCTCCATTTCACTTTAGTAGGTTTGTTTGCTGGGTTCACTATTGCAGCAAGCTGTGCCAGAGCAGCCCCTGGAAGCCCAGAAGAGAAGCAAGCCTTTTCCAAAGGCAATTGCCAAATTCAAACCCCAAGCCTTTCCCAAAGGAGCCAATCCCTTATTAAACCCTTATTAAAGAACAGCTTTCCCACAATTTTCCAAGGCCCTGGACCAGTAGAGCCCCCATTTCACTTTAGTAGGTTTGTTTGCTGGGTTCACTATTGCAGCAAGCTGTGCCAGAGCAGCCCCTGCAGAAGGGAAGCAAGCCATTTCCAAAATTGCCAAATTCAAACTGCAAGCCTTTCCCAAAAGAACCAATCCCGTATTAAACCCTTATTAAAGAACAGCTTTTCCACAATTTTCCAAGGCCGTGGACCAGTAGAGGCCCCATTTCACTTTAGTAGGTTTGTTTGCTGGGTTCACTATTGCAGCAAGCTGTGCCAGAGCAGCCCCTGGAAGCCCAGAAGGGAAGCAAGCCATTTCCAAAATTGCCAAATTCAAACTGCAAGCCTTTCCCAAAAGAACCAATCCCTTATTAAACCCTAATTAAAGAACAACTTTTCCACAATTTTACAAGGCCCTGGACCAGTAGAGGCCCCATTTCACTTTAGTAGGTTTGTTTGCTGGGTTCACTATTGCAGCAAGCTGTGCCAGAGCAGCCCCTGGAAGCCCAGAAGGGAAGCAAGCCATTTCCAAAATTGCCAAATTCAAACCCCAAGCCTTTCCCAAAAGAACCAATCCCTTATTAAACCCTTATTAAAGAATGTACAAGTAATTACAAGTACTAATTACAAGTACTAATTACAAGTACTACACTGTACTACATGTACTACAAGTACTACAAGTACTACAAGTACTATAAGTACTACAAGTACTACAAGTACTACAAGTACTACAAGTACAAGTACTACAAGTACTACATGTACTACAAGTACTACAAGTACTACATGTACTACAAGTACTACATGTACTACAAGTACTACAAGTACTACAAGTACTACATGTACTACAAGTACTACAAGTACTACAAGTACTACAAGTACTACAAGTACTACAAGTCCTACAAGTACTACAAGTCCTACAAGTACTACAAGTACTACAAGTACTACAAGTACTACAAGTACTACAAGTACTACATGTACTACAAGTCCTACAAGTACTACAAGTACTACAAGTACTACAAGTACTACAAATACTACATGTACTACAAGTACTACAAGTACTAGAAGTACTACAAGTACTACAAATACCACAACTTCATCGGCAAAAAAAACAATAGTAATTAGATTTCAATTGTAGCCAATTGAAATCCTTACTTAATTGAGGATATGTTTTTCTTTTGGGAAGAAAATTTTTGACTTTCTACTTTAAAGAGAGTCCAGAAATAGTTTTGGGGGGGGGGGCCACACACTAATCAGGACGCAACATTATGGTTTACTGTTGTACATGGATAACTCTTGACTTAGGTTCATTGTGGTTTATTGTTGTAATAGTGGACCACCACAAGCGTTTACCAGTAGCCGGCGGCCTACATGCGGATCCCGATACTCATCTGCAGGCCTGGGGTTTAGCTCAATAAATGCATCAATTGCTTCGGTCTGGAATCATGCTGGTCGTTGTATCGTGTTTCCAACTCTACACGAGAATGAAACAAAAACAATAATGATAATGATGAATCAAAGCCAACACTCATCAACAATGATAAAATATAAAACATAAACAATCAGCAGCCACACCAATAGCAACAGCCACAGCAACGGGCGCTCCTTGGGCACTTGTGCCCACCATGGAAACCTCTCAGGTGCAATACCTTTGCTCCAAAAGCCCGGTGTACGTTGACCACAGATGGCTTGAGTAGGCAGTCTAAGACATATACACGGCATCAAAAGGCTACATCATATTGGTCACATTGGAGTGATCCATCATATCCAATTTGCAGATTGGAGCCCTTGTGTGGAGGACGGGTCAAAACAAAAACGATATCCTATTTTGGGGGGATGAACATCTAGAATTAACATGAATTAACATGAATTAATTCCTGTAGCTAATATTAGCCAGCTAGTTTTGGGGTGAACTGCAGTTTACCAGGCTTTTGATCTCCAAATGCCATGGCCAAAATCCTGGGGTCGACCATTTCTTTCTATGCGGAAACCGCCAGGAAGCGGTCAGTGGCACCGTCTCCGTGGAGGCTCGGGGGCAAGTTCACCTGGCGAGAGCGCTCGAAGGCGAAAAAAGTCACCATGTCACTGATGGTGATTAATGGTGATTAATAGTGATTAATGGTGATTACTGATGGTTAATGATGGTTAATTATCTGGTTAATTATCTGGTTAATTATCTGGTTGGTGGTTGACCTACCCCTCTGAAAAATGATGGAGTGAAAGTCAGTTGGGGTGACTATTCCCAATAGATGGACAAATAAAACATATTCCACACCACCAACCAGTTGATGGTGGATGAATCACATGTGCAAATCAAATGGCATCGGGATCGTGATGATAGATAGATGATCAAAGATGACCAAAGATTGTCATGGAGACATAGAGATGTACTTCTGGGATCTTCTGGGGCACAGTCTTAACGGTTGGGGTTCTGTGAGAAATCAGCACCACATCTTCTGTTTGGGTCTTATCGGATATCGCCAAGGGGCAGGAAAGCGAAGCGGTCTCGGCACCGTTCCCAGATTGTATGGAAGAGCATGTGGTGAGATCAGCACTGCTGCTGTCAATACCATCAAGGCGTAGAAGGCCTCTGGCGAAGTGAACCCCTGAACAGAAAAACATCAGCACTGTAATCGTTGTGCAGAAACGAATTATATATACATTACATATCCATAGTTTTTCCGCGGAGTCTTTAACATGTTGAGCAGATTGTCGTTGCAATGCAATATGTGCTAACGATGGTAGTAGGAAACACAAGTAAGAGATGTGGCCTTAAAGCCTTAGGTGGAGGTCCAAAAGAAATCTGCCATGCATGCAGGCACACAGAAGGGTCAAGACCCCTGATGCGAATTGATGCAATCGAAACACGTTGTTTTTCAACGTGCAAGCACAGAGGGAAGTACTCAGTATCAGGAACAGTAGTACAGTATGGCCATGATAACCATTCAGGCATTATATTTTACCCCTAAAGGCCCCTAACATCTCGTAACGGAGGGAAACTCAGTCAATAGCTACTGCATGATGTCGATGGATCCATTTGCTCCACCTGTTCCGGTTTGTTCCAGTGGGGCCACGTGGGACCCAGAAATAGGAGAGTTAAAGTTAATTGAAGTCATCATGTCATCATTCCATCGTTGTGCACTGAACATCAGAATTTTGAAATCTCCAGCAAATTTTACCCCAGTTCTTCTCCTGTCATTGGTGTAAAATCTATACGATAAATTGGCAGCTTTGTCTCATTGAACTTTGATAAATTCACATTGCTAAGATTCAGCAAGCATAAACCTTACAAATTTAGAGTTGCAGTGAATTGCAGAATTATTCCCATTAGAAATTAGGGAATTCCCGTTGGAAATTGCTCGGGTTTCCACAGTTTTTACCATGAAAAAAACAAGTTCCTCTTCAAGGATTTCACCTCAACATCTTCAACTGGTCGCTGTCAGTCCCAACCTGGATCACCAGGGCTCCATAGATGGCCCCGTGGCCGTCCATCGCCGGATGCCGGCAAAGGAGGTCGGCGAAGACCAGTTGCGCCACACAGTGGCTGGAGAACCTGATTCCAATCGATTGGTTAATAATGGTGGTGATGGTTAACCATGATGGGAATTTTAACCATCAACTGGTTGGTGAAATACCTACCCCTCTGAAAAATATGAAAGTCAATGGGAAGGATTACTTTCACTTTCGGATTGCTGCACGAAATAGTGCTCGGTCTTTGCGATGCAAAAGTGAAACGCTACTGCCAAGTCGTGCTTCATCCATGGTAGTCTGGCTGAACAAACGCTACCGGGACAAAGTCTTCCACGACAAAATTGGCAAATTCCTCTGGCAGCACGGGTGTCGTGTCGACGCCCTCAAAGGTGCTGCAGACGAATGAATTAATGGCAGTGGCCAGGGCCCGGTTTAGGCCTTCGGGATATATCTTGGCTCGAGCGGTTTTGAACTCTCCCTCTGCGTCTCTGCCTGCCATTCGCTCGTGGGCGCCAGCTCCGTGGGGGCATCTGCCGCCCTGCCCTCCAGTCAGCGCAATCTGTCTGAATCGCGGCAGCCGTAGGTGTAGGATGGTGGTGGGTTTGGTAGCCACGCTACCCATCGTACACTGATCGAAGGATGTCACCCCAACGCATTCAAGGGTGCGCAGGAGGCGCACTTCACGGCTGCACCAGACACTTGCAGGGTCTTTCTTGGCCGCCCACAGTGGGAACTGGGGGTGTTCCAAAAACCCGCGCCCCCGGACTTGGCAAGTCCCAGCAGAGCTTCCAGCAGAAAGCGGATGAGCCTGGACCCAATAAGGCATTGTTGCCATTGCCTTGGCTTCAGATTGGGGAAGCCTAAAGGCCAGGTTCCAGACCTCAGCGGTGGTGGTCCTCCCTCCAGCAAACGGGCGGCCGTGTATGTTTCACACGGTGGGCCGCCGCCCATGCCGCAGATCTGGCCGGAGGCAATCTGCGCCATCCAAAACTGGAAAGCTTTTGATGAGGCCAGGTTGCCTTCAATCTTTTGCAGGCACATATCGATCGATATGACAAAGAAATGAAGGGACCCCCATGTCTGGTGCTCGAGGATCTGGTGCAAATCAGATTGCCTGCGAAAACCGGAGAAGACATGCACAAACACCATTGTCTTAATGTGCAATCGAGCATGCTCCTTGGCCAGTCCCTGTGCTGCATACTGCCCATGGCCTTTATTGGGGCCAGCGGGAGACTGCAAAACGAAGGCCGGAAGGTCTGCGTCAAACAAAATCACTGTTGGATCGCCTGCCGGGGCATCAGTTCTGCGGCCTTGGAGGAAGGTGAAAGCATTTCCCCTCTGCGGCTGCCTGGCAGCCCATCGCTGCTGCATGAGTGTTGCTTCAGGGGTTTGTGCCGGCGGCAGGTGAGGTCCAAAGGTGCGCAAGACTGGTGTCAGCGCTTTCGTGGCCCACCGGCCCTGTTGCCTCATGGCGACTGTATGTGCATTGTCGAGCTGGTCCAGCTCTTGAACCTTGTCGTCTTCCAGAGGCGGGAAACACGCCTGCAGCACCTCCAGGCACGTAGGGACGAACTTCAAATGCTCGATCAGGCGTTGCCTGGAGTGGTAAATCTTGCAGCATGCATTGCACACGTCATCAACTGCATAGAACTTCATCACACGGCGGTATCCATGTACCCGCCCTGCATGGGTCGCCAAGGCTTTCCTACTGGCAAACGTTCGGGTGCAAGAGTCACAAGCCCAAGTCTCGGCCTGGGTGACCTGCGTCACAGGCAGCACTCCGCCCCCTTCGACAAAAGCACGGTCAAACTTCTTCTGCCATAAATGGTGTTCTGCCTCTGCTCTGCGGTGACGTTTGCATGCTTTGGCTGCAGCACGCAGCCTCCCTTTCCATTTCATATCCATGGCAACAAATGGGATCCAATGAAAAAGGGAATCACTGTCCTCAGGCCCAAACGGGCGGGGATAGAACTGCCTGAACCATGCCAGGGACTGGGAACACGCCCTAATCCAAGAGTGTTGGGAGTCTTTGGCAGAGAAAAGGCAGGTCCACAGTGCGGCTGGGCAATATTGCAAAAGGCGTTTGATGTATCGCAGTCGTGCTAAGTGCATTTGGTCACAGGGAGCCATGATTTCGGCGATGCCGAACAGGTCAACGGTGTCAACATGGGTTGGGGCAGTGCCCAAAAGCAAATGCTTGACCATGAGTCCCAAAGGTTTTCGCATGTGATTTTGCCATTTCTGCCAGTCAGCGTCATGTGCTGAGCACCATGTGTGGACATTGTAAAGGAGGCGGGACATGGACATGGCCTGGAAGGCCTTGCCTTTGGTCTCAAGGGAGACATACTGCTTGCTGTACAAGGGTTTGGCCAGTGATCCCCAGGCCGACTTGGCAAGGGAAGCCCGGGTGTATACATCTCTGGAGCATCTAGGTGGAGCTTGAATCCATGTGCCCAGATGTTTGTAGGACTGCGTAACACTCAAACGAAAGTCACGGTCATTGCCTTTCCAGCACAAGAAACCGCCTTGCTGGGCGACTTGAAGCTTGACTGGTGTGGATCCTTTGCCTGCAATATGTGCCACAGCACCTCGGTCTTGCCTTTGTCGAAGTTGAGAAGCATCCCTCGCTTCTGGGTAGCCTGATGCATTGCCATGGCGGCGTGCTGAATCAAGGCCACCAGTTCTCCAATGGTAGGAGCATGCAGGGCCAAGGCAGCATCATCGACATAGGCCAGGTCCATGAAGGCGGATGCGGGCATGTCGGGAGCGTTAGCAAAGGACTCTGTATGTGCAGGCGTCCCCAGCCAATGGGACTGGGTGTGTTGGAGCATCCATGCTTTGCAGTCTTCCATAATCAATCTCATGATCATGTTGAAAAGCAGGTCTCCTAAGGGATCTCCTGGCCTCGTACCTCTGGTGGTACAACAGAGCTGCGGCAGATGGGTGACCTGAAAAAAGGTATGGCTCATGGTGTCCCGCACCAGATGCTGCAGGTGGGGCGGTGCTCCCTCGGTGGCATTGTCGTTGCTGGTGGCTGCAATCCATTGTTCAATTTCACTGGAGGCAACCCCCAACCGCTTGAGCGCATGTATGAGGGCGGTTGGGTCCTGGGGCAACTGGCCCAGGGACTGCCGCAGAACCGAGTAAAAGGCAGACCTCATGTCAAAAAAGACAATGGCAGTTGGGGCTTTGCACGCATAACAAGCGGCCTGGTGTGCCTCCAACAGATGATGAGTGAGGTCGGTGCCAAGACCTTTCCTACTGCCAAGTTGCAGGGCATTGATCTTGGCCTCCCAAATGGCTTCCAACTGGGTTCGAATGACTCTGTGGTAGAGCTTTCCTGTATAATTGGAGATAAAGATTGATCTGTAGGATTGAGGGTCATTTGCTGGGCCCTTGCCCGTATGGAGAGGGGCAAGGCGGCCCCCTCGCCAATCGAACGGCTCGGACGCCTGGCTGGCGGCCTTAGCTGCTAGCACCACAAATTGCTTCGCAAAGACTGGTCCCGCTGCTTTCAGCACAGATGGCGTCAGCTGATTTGGTCCCGGCGTCTTGCCCCGTTTGAGCTTGGCAACTGCAGACTGGATCTGCCAGGCTGTTGGAAAGCAGTTGGTCTGCTGGGTGTCAACTGGCATGGGGTCGTTCGTGGTGATTTCCTGCACAAGTTCGGGGCACACCAGGATACCTGCATCAATGGCGGAGAATTGGTCCATCCAAATCTGTTGCTGTTCAGAGAAGCTTTGGGCATAAGTGCCGTCAGGCTTCTTGAGTATGGGGATAGGGCGGTTTGGTGTGGCCCTTTTGTGCCGCTTGCCCCCAATTCTGGTGATGGCTGCGTACATGGCCTTCGAATCCCCAAGCTGGCCGGCTTCTTGCATCTGGACCAACAGCTGGTCGAAGACGACTGTGAGGTCTGCTCGGACCATTTTGCGCACCTGGAGTTCGAGGCATTTCAATTCGATCTTGAAATCAGCATCATGCATCAGGTTCATGGCTCTGCCACAGTCGAGCACGTGCCTTTTCATTGCAATGGCCTGCAATGTATCTGCAGACAATTGAGGGCGTCGCCGGGTGGCTTTCTTCTTTTCGAAGAATTGGCGGGCGAGTGCCAGCAATTGCGCTTCATATACCTTGCAATGATCATTTGGGTGCACATTCCAGGTTGGCAAGGGAAGGGTAGCCAAGGCAGTCTGAAATTGCAGACATCTGCTCTGATTCAGCAATGCGCTTTCGTCCCATGCAATGCGGGCTGGAGGGCATTCAAGGGGTGTCCAACCTCTGGCACTGACGGCCACTGGGATGTGGTCATCGTGCGTGAATGAGCCATCATAATCCTGAAATGTGTAGGATCTTTGGGTGATCTGGACAGCGGCACGGTTGGCAAGGACATAATCAATGCGGTACTTGGCTCCACTAGAATGAGACCATGTGGCTGTCGGTCCCGGATGCAGGTGCTGAAATGTGGATGGGACAAATAGCTCAAGCTGTTGCAGGAAGGCTTCAAAGCATTCGGTCTGTGGCCCAATCCGATCAGCACCATGTATTCCAAAAAAAGGGGATTCATGCGAGCCCAATCCAGCGTTTGCATCCACACATCCCCAAAAAAAGGTCGTGGGCTCAAGAGCAAGCAACAGGTCGGTTGTCTCAGTCCACCATTGCTGGACTTTGTCAATGGGGAGACGCCCATCACCCTGGGATTTTTGGAGACATGGCGCATGCAGCACTGCAAACATGAAGGAACATTGCCCAAAGTCGATCCTGACAACAAGGCGGCGGGGGTCTGCAACTTGCACGACCAGGCAACCGTCTGTGAGCTTCACAATCTTGCCATCAGGTTTTTTGGAAAACGGCAGGGATTTATGCAGCCAGAGTTCGCATCCCAGTTGGGCGGCTACTGGACCCGCCCCACCAGAGGCGAAAATGTGATAATTTTCACTCTGAAACCTGCCGGATGCGGTTCTAGCCTCTTGTATGCCGAGCACCTGGAAGCCGGCGGCATGAAACTGTGCATCAATTCGAGCCGTGCGACTACCCTGTCTGCGCCCAACTTCATGATGCTGATCAGTATGCTCCAAAGCAAGG